ACCCTAAAAACCCTAAACCCTAAACCCTAAACCCTAAACCCTAAACCCTAAACCCTAAACCCTAAACCCTAAACCCTAAACCCTAAACCCTAAACCCTAAACCCTAAACCCCAAAACCTAAACCCTAAACCCTAAACCCTAAACCCTAAACCCTAAACCCCAAACCCTAAACCCCAAACCCTAAACCCTAAACCCTAAACCCTAAACCCTAAACCCTGCCCCATTTACCCCTGCCCCATTTACCCCTGCCCCATTTACCCCTGCCCCATTTACTCCTGCCCCATTTACCCCTGCCCCATTTACCCCTGCCCCATTTACCCCTGCCCCATTTACCCCTGCCCCATTTACCCCTGCCCCATTTACCCCTGCCCCATTTACCCCTGCCCCATTTACCCCTGCCCCATTTACCCCTGCCCCATTTACCCCTGCCCCATTTACCCCTGCCCCATTTACCCCTGCCCCATTTACCCCTGCCCCATTTACCCCTGCCCCATTTACCCCTGCCCCATTTACCCCTGCCCCATTTACCCCTGCCCCATTTACCCCTGCCCCATTTACCCCTGCCCCATTTACCCCTGCCCCATTTATCCCTGCCCCAGTTACCCCTGCCCCATTTATCCCTGCCCCAGTTACCCCTGCCCCATTTACCCCTGCCCCATTTACCCCTGCCCCATTTACCCCTGCCCCATTTACCCCTGCCCCATTTACCCCTGCCCCATTTACCCCTGCCCCAGTTACCCCTGCCCCATTTACCCCTGCCCCATTTACCCCTGCCCCATTTACCCCTGCCCCATTTACCCCTGCCCCATTTACCCCTGCCCCATTTACCCCTGCCCCATTTACCCCTGCCCCATTTACCCCTGCCCCATTTACCCCTGCCCCATTTACCCCTGCCCCATTTACCCCTGCCCCATTTACCCCTGCCCCATTTACCCCTGCCCCATTTCCCCCTCCTCCCCCACTCCCACCCTGCCGCCACCAGGTGATCACGAACCTCACTCGGGCGGGGTGCAAGACAATGGAGGCCGCATTCGTGCTGCGGCACGAGGATGTGCCGCGAGTGAAGGCCATCACACACGCACTCACTGCCTCCTCCCTTGTCTGCCACCCCTGCCACCCCTCCTCCTGCCCACTTCCCCCCCGCCCGTTGCAACCACCTCCGCCACCCCCCAGGTCATCACAAACCTCACGCGGGCGGGGTGCAAGACACTGGAGGCCGCGTTCGTGCTGCGGCACGAGGACGTGCCGCGAGGAAGGCATCACACACGCACTCACGGCCTACCTGCTTCACCCTTCGCCCCCCCTCCTCCCTCACGACACATCCACCACCCCTCGGCTCTTGCCCCACCAACACCCTTCTCCTGCCGCACTGTCCCTCCTCCTACCTCACCCCCACCCCATCTCCCCCCATCTCCCCCCCCCCCAGGTCATCACAAACCCCTGCCCCATTTACCCCTGCCCCATTTACCCCTGCCCCATTTACCCCTGCCCCATTTACCCATGCCCCATTTACCCCTGCCCCATTTACCCCTGCCCCATTTACCCCTGCCCCATTTACCCCTGCCCCATTTACCCCTGCCCCATTTCCCCCTCCTCCCCCACTCCCACCCTGCCGCCACCAGGTGATCACGAACCTCACTCGGGCGGGGTGCAAGACAATGGAGGCCGCATTCGTGCTGCGGCACGAGGATGTGCCGCGAGTGAAGGCCATCACACACGCACTCACTGCCTCCTCCCTTGTCTGCCACCCCTGCCACCCCTCCTCCTGCCCACTTCCCCCCCGCCCGTTGCAACCACCTCCGCCACCCCCCAGGTCATCACAAACCTCACGCGGGCGGGGTGCAAGACACTGGAGGCCGCGTTCGTGCTGTGGCATGAGGACGTGCCGCGAGGAAGGCATCACACACGCACTCACGGCCTACCTGCTTCACCCTTCGCCCCCCTCCTCCCTCATGAGACATCCACCACCCCTCGGCTCTTGCCCCACCAACACCCTTCTCCTGCCCCACTGTTCCTCCTCCTACCTCACCCCCACCCCATCTCCCCCCCCCCCAGGTCATCACAAACCTCACGCGGGCGGGGTGCAAGACACTGGAGGCCGCGTTCGTGCTGCGGCATGAGGACGTGCCGCGAGTGAAGGCCATCACACACGCGCTCACTGCCTACCTGCAGCAGCACCCAAGGGTGGACAAAAGCAAGGGCCCCGCCATGGGGTACCTCAAGCAGCTCACCGGGTCGGGGCTGCAGATTGGCGTGGTTGCTTCCATTAAAGACCAAGTGAGTGTGGGCGAGGTTCAGTGGGTGGGTGCATGGGATGGGGTGTGCATGGGCGGGGTGGTTGGTGTATCAACCATGCGTGAATGAATGGCAGCACTGCCATCATCCGCAGCAGCACCCTCGCGTGGACCGCTCAAAGGGCCCCGTCATGGGGTACCTGAAGCAGCTCACTGGCTCAGGGCTGCAGATTGGAGTTGTGGCTTCCATTAAAGACATGGTGGGTAGGGCGGGTTGAGAGGGATGGTGGGCGGGATGGTAAGGGACGCAAGGGTGGAGCGCAGCAAGGGCCCCGCCATGGGGTACCTGAAGCAGCTCACCGGGTCGGGGCTGCAGATCGGAGTTGTGGCGTCTATCAAAGACATGGTGGGCGCATGGGGGGTGGGATGAGGGAAGGGATGGGAGGGGAGATTGGTGCCAAGGGCCCCGCCATGGGGTACCTGAAGGAGCTCACTGGCTCGGGGCTGCAGATCGGAGTTGTGGCGTCTATCAAAGACATGGTGCGTGGTGAAGAGGGGATGGGGGGGCGCATGGGGGAAGGGTGGTGTGGGGAGGCGTGGGGAGAGGGATGGGGGTGCATGCGGTACCTGAAGCAGCTCACGGGTTCGGGGCTGCAGATCGGTGTTGTGGCTTCCATTAAAGACTTGGTGCTTGGCATGGTGGGTAGGATGGGGGGGCGCACGGGGGGAGGGATGGCGGGAGGGATGGCGGGAGGGATGGGGGGTAATGGGGGGGTGATGGGGTACATGAAGCAGCTCACCGGCTCGGGGCTTCAGATTGGAGTCGTGGCGTCTATCAAAGACATGGTGGGCGGTGGGAATGGTTACTGGGTGGTTGCGCGGGAGGGGGGGTGCATGCGCGGGATGGGGGGTGCATTTGCGGGATGTGGGATGGTGTGTGCATGGCAGGCTCCCTCCCACTTGCTACCTCCTTTCACTCTTGTGCCATGAACCCCATCTCGCCTTTCACTCTTGTGCCATGAACCCCATCTCGCCTTTCACTCTTGTGCCATGAACCCCATCTCGCCTTTCACTCTTGTGCCATGAACCCCATCTCGCCTTTCACTCTTGTGCCATGAACCCCATCTCGCCTTTCACTCTTGTGCCATGAACCCCATCTCGCCTTTCACTCTTGTGCCATGAACCCCATCTCGCCTTTCACTCTTGTGCCATGAACCCCATCTCGCCTTTCACTCTTGTGCCATGAACCCCATCTCGCCTTTCACTCTTGTGCCATGAACCCCATCTCGCCTTTCACTCTTGTGCCATGAACCCCATCTCGCCTTTCCCCTCCAATCCACACACAGAGCAAGGGCAAGTTCCTACCGGTGCAGCAGGAGATACTGGAGAAGAGCGTGGAGATCATTCTAGCGGAGGGCGCGCTGCTGGGCGAGAGCGCTCCCTATGTGCCCTCCGCCTCCGATGGCGCTGCTGCCTCCACCTATGCTGCGTAAGACCTAAGACCCCTCCCCCTCTCCTCCTATGCCGCGTAAGACCTAAGACTCCTCGCCCTCTCCTCCTATGTGTGGAGATCATTCCAGCGGAGGGGGCACTGCTGGGCGAGAGCGCTCCCTTTGAGCCCTCTGCTGCCTCCGATGGCGCCGCTGCCTCCTCTTATGCCGCGTAAGACCTAAGACCCCACCCCCTCTCCTCCTATGTCACGAAACACAATGCATTACACATGACCATGCCACACATGACCATGCCACACATGACCATTCCACACATGACCATGCCACCTGCTCGCCTGTGCGCACACCGCCGCTGCCCGTCCTGCACCCATCTCTTCCCCCCCTGCCAGGCGCAAGAACCTCTTGTGGCAACGCCGCCGCCACAGTGCCAAGCAGTGAGGGAAGTCCAATAGACACGCCACAACGCCCCTACCCCGTCCTGCACCCCTCTTTCCCCCCTGCCAGGCGCAAGAACCTCATGTGGCAACGAGCTGACTTTTGAGTCAAAAGTCACGCTGCCCATGATGCACCCATCTCCCCCCCCCTCCCCTCAGGCGCAAGAACCTCCTGTGGCAACGCCGCCGCCGCAGCGCCGCACTCCAGTAGACACCACAGCGCTGGGGGCATGGCACAGCGCTGGGGGCATGGCACAGCAGTGAGGGCACAGCAGAGCACAGCACAGCGCTGTGCTGTGATGGGGAAATACACAGGGGCAGCATGGTTAGTGCGTGTTGGGGTGTCCATAATGTCGCGTAACCCGCACAGGACATAAGGAGAAGTGGGATGTAAAGTCTGGGTAACACAGCAGCTACAGGGGTATGGGTGACGAATACGGTAGCTGTTTTGGTTCCCTTGTAAACCAAGCAGGCGTGTGGTCCGAGGAACAACGTTGATTACAAATAGTTTGGGGGGGATCTCTGGGAGAAGTACTGATAGTTGGGATTGGGAAACGTGAAGTGGACAAGGCTGTTGGTAGCAGAGCCTCGAGAGGTGAGCAGGAAGAATGGGAGGATGGGCCAGAGTGGCTGGCAGGGCAAGGCAGCATGCACCAGGGGCTTGCTGCCAATCCAGGCGAGGGATGAGTGCGCCATCCCAACCTGAGGTCGTGTGACCGGCCAGTCCCTCAACCCGGAGGGATTTCAGGAGGGCTGGCTGGCTGGCAGCTAGGTACTAGTTGAGCGAGCATCGCAGTGGAGTAGGATTCGCTTACGGTAGATTCTTGTTTACTTAATGCTATACCGGAGCTTTGCTTCACTGAATCACTGGTCTGGAACAAGCTCAGAACACGGACCGAACTGAGGCAGCCCACCCCTTGCGTCGTCAGGAGGGGAGTAGCTTGGCCTCTTGTGTGTAACGTGTGCTGAAACGGACGTGGCTAAGGAAGGGTAGAGACCGAAGACCAGTGAATGGGGAGGGGAGGGGAGGGGACCCACTGGAGGGAACAGGAGGACGACACTTACAATAGAGCAGTCACCCATTGCGTTGGTATGTGCTAGGTGTTCGGTACAGTTTGTATGGGTTCAAGCAGTGCAATGCAAATGTGATGTGACCAACCCCATAAATGGTTTTATTGCTCAAGTACGGTAGGTGAAATATATACAATGAGGAGCAAACAACTAGAGCGCCTCTCCCAGCAGGAATTGCGCATGGTTAGCAGCCAAACACTACCACCAATGATGGGAAAATAACTTCGCAGCTGCACACACCAGCAGCAGCAGCAGTCCTGCGCGTGCCCCTCCTCTCTCAGCAGCAGTTGGCAGCGCGCTTGCACCGCCACGCTTTGGCCCGCGCCTCTCTTCGCCTCCGCTTCCCCTTCACCCTCCCCACCTCCCCACCTCCCCCTCCCGCCATCGAGGTGACTTTTGAGTCGACACCTCCATCAGCAGCAGTTAGCAGCGCGCTTGCACCGCCACGCCTTGGCCCGCGCCTCCTTTCTCCTCCACTTCTTCCCCTCCATCCTCCCACCCTCCCCCTCCCGCCCTCGCTTGCCACCACCCCCCTTGTCCTTCCCCCTGCCCTCCCATCTCCCCGCCTCCCCATCTGCACCCCTCCCTCTGCCCATCCGTGTGCCCGCCTCTCTGCCATTGCTTCTGCTCCCCAACCTGCTGCCATGGCTGCCATCACCATGCATTGCTGCTGCACCACAGTCATTCAAGCCCATGCGCCCATCCCCATCCTCTCCCTCCACCCCTTGCTGCTCACCCTCCCCACTCACCTCACTCTCTCCCTCCTCTCCCACACTCTCCACCTCTCCCCCCACCGTCCCCTCCACCTCTTCCCCTGCCTCCACCTCAGCCATGTGCGCATCGCCGTCCCCTCCCTCATGTCTGCCCTCTCGTGTCATCCCCTCCTCCCCTCTCCCGTCTCCTCCCACTTCTCCTCGCTCCTCTCCACTTTCCTCTCCTTCCCCCACTCCCCTCTGCTGCGTCTCATCCCCTGCCACTCCCACGCTATCCTCCTCCCTCTCCTCCTCCCTCTCATTCTCTCCTTCCCCTGCTCCCTCCCCCTCCCCCTGTGCCTGCCCCAGTGACCCCAAGCCTTCCTCCCCACCTGCCCTCTCTCCCTCTGCCTCCATCCCGCCTTCCCTTTCCCCCGCGACTTCTCCCCCCTCCCCTCCCGCGCCTGCTGCTCCTCCCTCCAATCCCCCAGCCTCCGCACCGCCCCTGTCTGCCCCACTCGCACCCCCCCCAGCAGCCTCTTCTCCTTCCGCCCCTCCACCGCCTGCTTCCGTCCCCCCCTGAACCCCCGCTCCCCCCGCTCCTCCCCCTCTCGCCCTCCCCGCGCGCCTCTTCCTGGGCTTCACCCCCACGAACTCGCCCCCTCCGCGCCTCCCCCGCACCACGTGCACGCTGCGCCCGCACACGCCCACCTCCGCGTCGTCCCCCACCGCCGCGCACCCCCACACATCCAGGTGGCGCAGCCCCTCCGCGCGCGCCAGCCCCGCGGGCAGCTCCGCCAGCGCGGAGCACTCGCGCAGGTGCAGGGAATGCAGCGCGCGGACGGACCCGAGGTCGGGGGGGAGCGCGGCGAGCGACGGGCAGTACGAGAGCGAGAGGACGCGGAGCGCGGGCAGGCGGGGGAGCGACGCGGGAAGGCGCGCGAAGGCGCGGCAGTGGTTGATCGCGAGGCGCGCGAGGCGCGGCAGCGAAGCGAAGTCGTCGGGGAGGTGCGTGAGGAAGTCGCAGCTAGTGACGTCGAGCGACTCGAGCGCGGGAAGGTGCGCGAGGGACGCGGGGAGGCGGGCGAGCGCGGAGCAGCGCTCGAGGGCGAGGCGCTTGAGCGCGCGCAGCTGGCCGATGTCGTCCGGGAGGGCGCGCAGCGCAGAGCACGTAATGAGGGAGAGCGTGTGGAGGCGCGGGAGGGCGCAGAGGGACGCGGGGAGCGCGGCGAGGGAGAGGCAGTCCGAGACGCGCAGCTCCTCCAGACACGTCAGCCCGTCCAGTGTGTCCGGGAGCGCCGCAATTGGCACGTTCGTTATAGTCAGCTCCTTTAACGCACCCAGCTGGCCGATGGAATTCGGCAGAGCGGTGAGCGCGCCGCACGAGGTCATGCTGAGGCGCGTCAGCGCGCAGAGCCCGCTTATGCCGGCGGGAATGGCGGTGAGCGCGGTACACCGCAGCACGACCAGCGTCTGCAGCGCCGTAAGGCGGCCGAGCGACGCGGGCAGGCTCCGCAGCGCGGGGCAGTCCTCCAGCTCGAACGACTCGAGCTCCGCCAGCTGGCCGAGCGATCCGGGAATCGAGGAGAGCTCGGACGCGATAGAGATTTTGAGCGCGCGGAGGGCGGAGAGCGCGGAGAGCGCGGGGGGGAGGCGCTCGATGTGCATCAGGCGGACGAGCGAGAGCGACGTGAGCGCGGTGAGGCGGCAGACGACGGGGGGGAAGGAGTAGAGCGCGGAGAGGTCCGACAGCGTGAGCGCGCGCAGGGACGGCGCGAGCGCGGCGAGCGCAGGAGGAAGGTGGGTGAGGCGCGAGCAGGATTGGAGCGTGAGCGACTGCAGCGACGAGAGGCGCGCGACGCGCGCGGGGAGCGCGACGAGCTGCGTGAAGCCGTGCAGCCCCAGGTGCGTGAGCGCCGGCAGCGCCCACAGCGCGGTCGGCAGGCGGCGCAGTCGGCCCAGCGGCGCGCGGAACGCCATGTGCAGCTCCAGGTGGCGCAGAGCGGGGGCCAGCGGAGGCGGGGGAGGGGCGGGCTGCACGGCAGTAGCAGTGGCCTCAGCGGTGCTTGCAGCCCCGTCGGGTTCGCGGTCAGCCGCGCCGCCCGCGTCCCGTCCCTCCGCGTCTTCTTCCTCCTCGCCCGCCTCCGCCTCCGCCTCCGCCCAATCCCCCAGCAGCGAATCAAGACTCGACACGCTCTTCAGCACCACGTGCGCAAGTCGCGGCAGTGCCAGCAGCGCGGCCGGCAGCGCGCTCACCGACCCGTACGGCGCCAGCACGAGCCGCTCCAGTGACGTGAGCATCCCGATCGACGCGGGCAGCGAGGTAAGCGGCGCCTCGACGATCTCGAGCTCGCGGAGGGCCGGCGCCGCGCCGATATCGTCGGGGAGGGCGCGGAGGCTGCGGCACTGGCGGATGGTGAGGACCGCGAGGCACGCGAGGGAGATGGGCGGAAGGTGGTCCGCGCTGACCTCCTCCAGGCGCACCTCCTCCAGCTTGCGCCACTCCTCCCCCACGTTGGGCAGCGCACACGAAATTTTCCGCAGGTGCAGGCGGCGCAGCTCCTTCAGCGCGCCGATGCTCTCGGGAATGCCCTCCAGGCGGTACCACCCGTGAATTTCCAGCGCCGTCAGCGCGCTTAGCGCGCCGAGCTGCGCGGGGAGCTGGCTCATCTCGCGGCAGTTCGACAGGCAGAGGCGGGACAGCCGCGGGAGCTGCCCGACGGACGCGGGGAGGCTCGTGAGTTTGGGGCAGACGACGGAGAGCTCCTCCAGCGCGCGCAGCGCGCCGAGCTCGTCGGGCAGAACGCGGAGGCGCTTCAGACAGAGCTTGAGCACGCGCAGCGACGAGAGCGACGCGAGCGAGGAAGGAAGCTTTGTGATGTGGCCGAGGCTGTGCTTCAGCGTGAGCTCCTCCAGGCGTGAGGCGGCGCGGAGGAAGCGACCGAGGCAGGTGAGCGTGATGCGGAAGTGCGGCGCGCCGGTGTACTGCGGCTCGTCCAGGCGCAGGCGGGAGAGCTGCGGGCACGCGGAGGGCAGCGCGCGCAGGAACGCGTCGTTGAAAAAGTCGACGCTCATGTCGCCTAGCGTGAGCGAGTTCGCATTGGGGAAGCGCGCCAAGCCGCGCAGCAGCTCGCCCGCGTGGAGGTGGCGCGGGGCGGTGACGCGGACGGCATTCTGCGAGAGTTGCGCTAGGCGCAACCAGCGGCGGCACACGAGCGCGTGGTGCAACGTCTCGCCGCCAGATGCGCGTGCGAGAATCGCGGAAAGAACGTCGTCGGGCAGATCGTTTATTAAATCCTTCCCCGACAGGAGCGCATCTTTAACTAGTTCCACATCACGCAGCTCTTCCACGTTGCCCGCATCCGGCGGTACGGTCGCCGCGTCCATGGCTGCTGCGGATAGACCGCCTCCGTGCGATGTGGCGTCGCTCTGGAAAACCTAGGTATGGTGGGAACTGTGATGACGAGACGCGGCTGGGAGCGGGAGAGGTGATGGGAGAGTGAAGAGCCAAATGGGGCAGGCTTTTGCGAGCAGCCCTCTCATTTCGCTGGTGGAGTCGAGTTTCTCATTCGAATGCGGACTGTGCTTTTGCTTTTGCAGTCTTCACTTCTGTACCGCCTGCACGCTTCATATACCCCCCCCTCTCCGCTCCGACTTGCTTGCAGCGGGATGCGAGGCGTCATGCAGACGAGTGGCGCTTGCGGTGTGATTGGATGAGGTGGGGGAGGCAAGTGCGGGGAACTGCGCGGGGCGGGATGGGTCTGCTCTGCTGCTGCTCCCGACAGATTGTGGTGTTCGCGCAGTTTCATTCTGCCGAGCCGACGGCTGGGGGCGGAGCGTGATGGCGCGGAAAGGGATGGAGCGGGAGCGGAGCGTTTCAGTGACGCGATAATCTTGATGGCATGGAAACACTGTAGCAGGTTCGCTCATAGGGCGAGCTTTCCTTGCGGGACTCCGCTGGGAGACTTGACGTGCAGCGCAGGTTGGGTCGGACGTCCAGCTGACGCCAAACCAGGCGAGGGAATATCCTCGTTAAGATGCACATTAGCAGGACAACATGCAAACTCATGCCTTACCCATACAATTTGTCAGAATGTATATTATGTAGTAGTAAACATAACACATTAGTAGAGGAATATACTTGTAACCATTGTTGCTAAGCTCCCCGTTGCATGAAAACGGCCCACCCATTGGAAGTTTAGATCCATACTATTGTGAAGGCTCTCGTTCTCCATTACCAGACTTCATTCCCTGTCATGACGTGTTGGCCCAGAGAGGAATCACGTGATGTGCCCACGGGTCGTGAGAGCGCATAGCCCGCGAAGTGTCGTGGGACCAGCCTCAAGGTTGCAACTGCTCACGACGAGTGCCCAGCAGCACCCAGATCCAGGTAAGCCTACATGCACGGGCACTTCACTATCCTTTCTCTTCCTGCTCACAACGGGCCCTTCTTGCTCACAGCCGGCAACACCTGCTGCCGGGTTTGGGTCCGCCACACGCCTTGAAGCCGATGGGACAGCAGCCCCACGTGCGCGTCGTGACGTTGCGGAAGCACGCACCCACCTTGCAGCACATGATGCCCCCGCAGCACGAGTACTCGTGTGTGTCCTGCGCCACCGCCAGTAGCCGCGCCGGACAGTGCGTTGGGAGGGATAGAAAGGTAAGAAAGGGACACGATTGTCAGCCAAAAGAGAGGAAGCGGGCGTGACGGGGAAAACGTGCGAATGTATAGACACGAGATTCCGGCAACACCTCGTTCGCTCGCGCCTCGTTCAGCACCGCATTCTCGGTCGCTCAAAGCTCTTCGCTCGAAAATCGTCGCTCACAGCTCTTCCGCTCACGACTCTTCCGCTCACGCGCACACCCTGCCTCTTTTCCCCCCAGGGACCCGCAACAGTGCCTCTCTGCTGGAAGGAGCCCGTCTCGCCGCCTCGCAGTCGCCGAATTGACGTTTCAGTTTCACCGCCAGCACGACTTACGATGCAGCAGGCGCCGCTGCAGTAGATGCGGCGCTTCTGGCAGCCAGGGTACCCGGCCATGGCGCACACGCCCGTGTTTGGCTTTGAACACTTCACCTTCCCCTTCGTCGCCGCCACCAGAAGCTCCCGCCGCCCTGCTTGCTCCGCCGATGACGCGACGACCGCATGACCATCAGCGAAAATCGCCGTCGTCGCGACTCCGTCGCCTTTCTTAAAGGCTGAGTCGGCTAGCGGAAGGAGCGCGACGATGGTTATCAGTAGAAACGTCACAGCATTCGATATCATCGTGAAGGCTGAACGAGTGGCCTATAAAGTATATTCAACAGGGAAGCGGGACGAAGAGATCAGCTGTCTCAAATTAATCTCACAACAGTTACGAACTACAAAGCGTTCCATACAACCTTCTTGCAGGCTGGGAGAAACACGGGGACAGGCGTCGCAAACAGTGTGGTTAGAGGCAGACAGTTAGAAAAGGGGCCAATTGGAAGTGCCTCTGAACTCCATCAAGCTCAATCAAAGCCCAACCCAGCTCTCAATTCCGTCACTCTTCTCATTGCTTGCTGGTCGCGCCAGATGCACATGAAGCTCGTGTGCGACTCGATATGGTGGAAGGAGGCGATTACTCGGGGGGGGACAATTTTTTCGCTAAGGGGGAGGCGACTTTTGAGTGGAGGGGTTTTGTGTGATGTGATGTGATGATGGTCGGTGTTATGTGGTTCGGAGCCAGCCTCGGTGGTTCGGAATGCTGGTCTGGTGAAGTCTGGTGCCTCAGGTTTGGCTGTTCCTTGGTTCGCGGTCTTGGCGAGGCTCGGTGCGGCTGATTCTTCGTGGTAAGGGTCAGGGGGGTTTAGGGTGCAGGTATGGGAAGGCTTCTTCTCAACCATACCGATTCCCGAGCCGATTCTACATCCTCTTCGATTTTCCCTGGGACGGAAGCGCAGCTGACGGCGCTCTCAATACTGTCACAGGTTCGGCGTACAAATATCGACCAAGCACCAGCAAGCATCTGGTCATTGCTTCGTCACGAAGTGCTGTGGTAGTCCCACTTGTGTAAGGACTCCAACTATAATAAGCATCATGTGGAAGCCTCCCTTTACCCCTACATCTACCACTATTATCATTCACTGGCCGAACTCACTACCACCAGCTCCTGGCTGAAAAGGAAATTAAAATTGAGTTACACTACAAGTTACTATTGACACTCAAACTCCTGTGTCACACCCATGTCTGCAACTTATGGTTGGGAATAATGATGAGTGTATTATGTTGACAGTGACGGTATAGGTGAGGTTTAAGTACTTCCTATTATTGTGTTCATACATCTCAAATCAACAGATTTATGCTGCTGGTGTGCCTGTCCAGCGCATTACCCAAATCGGTTACTATACATATCAACCCTAACAGCAAAGAAGACATTAAATCTGGAAAAAGGAGCACATGCATTTCTGGCACCAGCGTACCTACCATTCTGCTTTCTACACGATCCCATCACTCTGCCTAGTAGGTAGAAGCTAACGGCTTTCACTGCTCGAATCTCAGCTATTCCAGCAGCATCGCCGGCCACCCTGGCAGGCCTTCTTCCCCAGTGGGCAGCAGTCCCACTGCCCTCTCTTCCGCTCGTAACACGCCCCCCGCCGGCAGCACTTGCGCCCCCCGCAGCACGGGTACTCGTGTGTGTCCTGCCGTGCACGGGGGTTGGGGAGTGAGATGGGGGTGAGATGGGGTTGAAATGGAGGGTAAGAAGGGGTAAAAATGGGGGTTGAGATGGGGTTGAAATGGAGGTTAAGATGGGGTTAAAATGGGGGGTGAGATGGGGTTGAAATGGAGGGTAAGATGGGGTTGAAATGGAGGGTAAGATGGGGTTAAAAAGGGGGGTGAGATGGGGTTGAAATGGAGGGTAAGATGGGGTTAAAATGGGGGTTGAGATGGGGGGTGAGATGGGGGTTGAGATGGGGGGTGAGATGGGGGTTGAGATGGAGGGTGAGATGGGGGTTGAGATGGAGTGAGATGGGAGTTAGATTGGAGGGAATGGGAGCAGGAAGGGAGCAGAAAGGAAGGAGAATGGGAGGGGAACGAGAGGGGAATCGGCGAAGGGAGGAAAAATGGGAGCGAATGGAGAAGGAAAATGATGGAAACGGGAGGGAAACGGGAGAGGATGGTTGGGAAACGGGAGGGAGAATGGAAGGGGAATGGGAGGCCAATGGGAGGAAGATGGGGGGAGTATGGGAGAGAAATGGGAGGGGATGCGAGAAACTGGAGGGGAATTATGAGGGGAGTGGTAACGGTATGGGACTAAGATGGGAACGAGAGGGGAACGTGTGGAAAAAGGGAGGGGAGAGTGTGGGGGGAAGTCGAAGGAATGGTCGGGGGAATGGACGGTGGTAGGGATTGTTTTATAGAATTCACAAAAATACCCTGGGGGAATTTTCGCGGTGTCAACCCACTGGCACCCGCATTGACGAGCCGAACCTGCGTGCGAACCATCGTGACCCCCCGGATGTCAACAACTCTCAAACGAAAAGGATTGTGAAGTGTGCGTGTGTGAAGTGCGCGTGTGTGAAGTGCGCGTGTGTGAAGTGCGCGTGTGTGAAGTGCGTGTGTGTGAAGTGCGCGTGTGTGAAGTGCGCGTGTGTGAAGTGCGCGTGTGTGAAGTGCGCGTGTGTGAAGTGCGCGTGTGTGGCGTGGGACCTGTCCGCGGGGCGGCGGGGCCTGCTTCGGTACTTGAATGCGAGGGCTCGACGAAACGCAGGGCCGTCAGTACTTGCATTCCGAGATTCTAAGCGCCTTTGCCTCGCCGCGCGATCGAGACACGAGCCACGACAGGAGCCATTCGTGGTGATTTAACAACGGTACGTCGGCTTGTAGGGACACACCTGAATAGTCGTCGCTCGTAATGTTTCGGGAAACTACTGAGTTAAACGTAAGCACAGCAAGGAATCGCGCCACCTAGTTACTCACGATGCAGCACTCGCCGCCACAGAAGATGTCACGTGGTTGACACGTGTCCGTTCCCGTGTAGCGACACACGCCCGTGCCTTCCTCGCATCGCTTCGTGCCTCGCTCGACGCGCAGCTCTCGGCGGCTGAATTGGAGCAGTCCATCCGAAGCAGCGCTTTCTGAAACCGAGCCGTTGAATTGTCGATGGCTCGTAGCAGCATCTTCGTTTACCGCTGCATGGGCGATCGATAATCGCACCGCGACGCAGATGACGAGGACCCAGCACGCCGACAGCCTCATAATAACGATCACAGAACGCGTTCAAAGGAAGTTTGAACGGTCGATGGATTGAAACAATATTAACTGTTAAATCTCGACAATCAAGGCTTGTAGAGACTACGATCCGCGCTCTTTACGTATCCGTGGCTGAAGAAAAGAATGAGCGATGGATCGATGGAGATGCCCGAAGGGAGAGGTTGCGCAGCCATGTTGACACACGTGTGGCAGAAGTGAGGTACGGGAGAGGGCACCATAGCTGCAAGGAACAGGGATGTCGAGTTTTTGTTCTGTTGCACTCTCGCCCCCCCCCCCTCCCTCGACTGCATTCCCAGCTCATTGAATTTTGCAGAATTCGAGTGCTGGTTGCAACGCTCGCATGTGAACCGAGCCGCATCCCGCGTCAATTTGGGGTTGGAGATTGAATAGAGGGGGTGCGAGATCGCGGCTCCAACGCTCTGCTCCCTCGCACCGCTTGGCTTCTGGCAACCTCTGTTGGTGTGAACCGGCGGTGACGCAGCGCGCTGCCAGCATGTCCGCATGTGAGCGTGCCCCTCACGCTCGCGGGCCAGCTGGATGGGCAGGAAGCATGATCGGGGTTTCAAGGAAACCACTTGGAAAGCTGATATCTTCGTTATTGACATGTACTGCTACAAATCCGTCATGTTATCGCCCATACTTTAAAACTGCATGCTTCCATTCTCATCCTTATGTTGGTCATTTGCATGCCGTTCCAGCAGTGAACTTTGGACAAAAGCGTGCAACTATAAGATAGTTAATAAGCTATACAGAGCCTGTAAAACTACTACAGAAAGATACAATCTGAACAAAAACCACATCCCATTATAGCCTTCCCCTAGCAACACTTTTTACCGCATGCTGTCTTTCCAATGGGACAGCAACCCCACTGGCCATGCTTATTTTGGTAGCATCCTCCTTTCTTGCAGCACATAATCCCTCCGCAGCAAGGGTACTCCGCAGAATCCTGCACCACACAAGAGGCGTATATACAGAATAATTATACTCGCACTCAAAGTAAAGCCGGAGACTGATTCGGCAGAGAGCGACCTTTTAGGACTGAAAAGTCTTACCGTGCAGCAGGCGCCACCGCAGAAGACATCGGGAACGCTGCAGCCAGCGACGCCAGAGTATGGGCAAATTCCCGATCCCCCACCGCACCCCTGCTGAACTTTGATTTTCTTCAACTCCCGCCTGTGCGCTTGAACCTCTCGCGACGACGCCTCCACGACGATTGCACTCGCCCCAAGCGGTGCTGTTTCAGCGCCTTTGCTGCTGTCAGCCGCGTGAACGAGGCAAAGCCCGACTGTGGCGACGAATAAAAAGAAAGCGGCGCGAACGACGGGTCCCATCTTCCGGGCCTTCTGAAGTCTTGGTCTTCAAGCTACGAACAAATATTTCAACTTGGAACTGTGCTGAGATGAGCTGACTCCCGATTCGGATTGGGATTGATGCTGAGAGCAGACTATGATTTGAAAACGCAATAAGAGGCAACCATCAGAGCACCGATGTGGGCGACGTCTGCTGATCGAGCTGGGTTCTTCGGTCGCCATTTCCACCGACTACAACTGTCAAACACTAACTACGACGTCGCGGAGAGCAGATCTGAAGAGGTGACGCTCGACGGTGAGCAATAATTGTGGGATTCTGGGAAGCAGCATCTCGAACCAAACTGGGCGTTGGCTGGTCCAACTCGATTCAACGCTGACTGTGCTTGCCCACGGATTTCCCGATCCGAGGCTGCTGGTAGTGCGCTGGAAGCTTGGTGCGGTGCCCGTGCCGAAGCTGGCGTTGTGGTGAAGTGAAGTGTCGCTCGCACGCGTCCGCGTCAGCGCGCGAACAGGTGGTGGTCGGTTACAGGTTGGGATTGGGGTGGGATCACACGCTGGATGGGAGGAGGAAAGCCGCACGTGGAACGTTCAACCACGCGATTGCATGCGGACGACACGGACGAGTTCCGTTTCGTCCGACCGACTGACTGTTGAACGCCGCAGGAACAACCCAGTCGACGCATTTCATCCTGTCGGTCAGCCGATGGCTGTTGCGAGATGTGTTGAAACGAACAATTCACGCCACGGCGCAAAGAAAAATACCTCTCTGTAAGCACTCCCGTAGAGTTCTATGGTTCAGTAACCATGTACATTGTGTGTGCTACTTCTTTCACAAAAAACTGTTACAAAGACCTATACATAGGACCTATGCTTTGTTAGGTCTCGTGGTATTCCCCAACTTTTTTTCTTTCTGATTATTTCCTCTACTTTCCTCTCACTTTCCTGTTTTCCTCTTTCGTTTCCTTTTCCCTTCGTCCCGTGTCTCTTCTTCTCCCCCGTTATAGCAGTCACGTCGATTATATATTTTTTTTAATATACTTTCATTCTATTCAATGGCACTTGTGGTATGTCATGAAAACCTTTCCAAGTGGATGTTGACAAACGTCAACTTTACATTGTTTAAGCAATTTGAAAAGTCATCTGTATACACCCAGTCAAGATTCATACTTATATCTGTACATGATATAAGCGAACCTCACATCCAGAGTGGGCAGCCATACACAAATCTGGTGTGGTCCCCGATGCGTGAAAAGTGAATCAGATGGAATGCTAGGAGCCATTCGAATAATCGAAGGTGGAAACGTGTGGCTGCAGTCAACGAATGTTACTGTAGTTCGACGGCCATTCCCACAAACGAGTGGTGTGAATCTGGCGGCGAGCTTTTCCGTGAGATTGTAGCCGCAAATGTGGCTGGAGCATGCGCTGGACGTGTCAACAACGACGCAAAAGATGCGCAAAGTGGATAAGGTCTCGGTTTGATGACAGAAGATTTGCATTTGGGCTAGGGTTTCAGTTCTCAGTTGGAAATTGATTGCTTTTGGGCAGTTTTGTAAGACACACAAGAGAGAGAAGCTCCTGGACAAAGACGAAATTTTGGTCTGTTGGCAGCGACATGATGCGGGCATCATTGTTGCAACAGGCAGATGCTGCCGTTGGCTCAAAACGAGCCAGCCAGTCCCTTCCATCCTCCACCGCACCAAAGGCTAGGAAACTCCGAGACAAACGACCGAGGAGCTCAGTGGGAAGTACCGAAGGCCGAGGCTGGTCAGGAGGTTTGGCCTTTGGCGACAGGCAGCCCGGTCAGTTCGCTCGTTGACCGGACCGGATAACAAATCTTACAACAGTGCTGCCTGCCTGCCTGCCTACCTCATCTCCACCACGTAACTGCAGCAAATTCGTCCCTTCTCCCAAACCCCCTATTTCCCCTCCACTTTTCGCTCCTTCTCATCCCCCCCTTTTCCCCCGAGTTTCCCCCCCTGACAGCTCCGACACTCAAATCAGCAAAAGTCACCTCACCACCACAAGCGGATGGGGAAGGTTTGTGGAAGGAAATTCCCGCGCTGCCCTGCTTCTGCCCGGAGAAGTCAGGATGAGATGCAAGGTTGTGAGACAAGTGGCGCGCGCGCAACAGGCATGCACAGCACACCACCACCACATTTTCTCCTCCGCCGCACCTTCACCAGGGCTGACGATTCAAGGGCAAATGCCCTTAATGCCCTGAACATTAAGGGTTGGGTTCAGCCCAGATTCCGAATTTTCAGGTTGGCTTTGAGGGCAGCCCTTTCCCGCAAAGTGCTGGTTGTGGGCCTAACCCGGATTTCAAGCGCAGATCCGCGGCTAGCCCTTATCTTCCCTTACTAATACCTCCCTCCCTCCCATGCGCTCACCAGTCCCCCCACCTCCTCCCAGCCACTCCCCTTTCTCCTTTTCCCATCCCCATCAAATCCATCGACATGTTTCGTACCTCAGACACTTGCCTAGCTGGATCTTAGTAGTTGCCTAGGATACGGACCCGAAGCGATGTAGGTTTTCCTTAGCAAAAGTGCAGAAAAGTTGGTAGCCCTGATTTCAAGTGCCAGGTTGGCTCTCAGCCCGTAAATTTCAGGGCAACTTTTGGGGCACCTCAGCCTCTCAAGTTCTGGGTCCAAACCAATCGACAGCCCTGACCTTCACTCGAAGCCCGGGGAAGGGAAGTGAGGTGAGGGGAGGGCAGCAAGGCGAAGAAAGGGAAGCAAGCAAGGTCGAGGGGAATGGTTGTACAGTGTTCACTTGGCTAGCAGTTTCAAATGCAGAGCATTTGCTGTCAGGACTCAGAAGGAAGTGGGGCTTTGGTTCATGCTTGAGGACAGATAAACCTAGGATGACTAGAGCTCGTCAGCGTGCTATGCGTCTACATCCATTATACGGGACCGAGCCTCGATTCGAGTAGTTTCCGTCTGTAGGGATTTCTTTAGCTGTTCGTCGATTTGAAGATAATCGCGAGATTAGCTTGTTCGTTCAGCTTGGAAGTGATTAGTTCGCTTTTGTATCCAAAATACAATCGATTACTCTTCCGTACTCGGGAGCCTAAATAGGATGGCGGGACGCGAGAGCGACGCGATACCATCGATGGCAGAGGATTTTCCATCGCTGAAGGCCAAGTGGGTGGTGATGCAGCACGCCAAGAAACCCGCTACCATCTTCGACGACCTCGCCTTTGTGTGAGCCCCCATGATAGCTTTGATCCTCGTTATCAACTTGTATTGTGCGGTGACGGCTCACGATCCTCGGACATTTCATCATGCGTTTGCTGCACCTCTTCCGCCGATCTTCCCCTTGTCATCCCGTGACATTTCCGCTCATCTAATAAAAACTGCGCATATTCTATATTTTTGTTAATATATTCATCCTGTAAGATCGTCTTACAGGATCATTATTAATAATATGATCATTATTGTTTAAGATCGTCTTATTTTCTTCCTGTCTCTCTCCAGCCCCGAGCACGACCTACTGGATTCCTCGTGGATCGACAACGCGCACGACCTTCCGAGCAAGGCCGCGAGCAGGCAGGGCAAGCCGGCGTGGCAGGTGCATCTCAAGCCCCCCGTGCCCTCCTCCACCGACGTCGCCCCCTCGTCTCTCCGCAATTCCCCCCTTCCCCGTGACGCCAATCTCGAGGGCCTCCTCGCCGCGCAGCTCCCGCCACCGGGCGGTGCGGGGGGGAGCGCAGCCGGGAACGCGGCGGCACTGCGCGAAGAAGAGATGGAGGCGTGGTTTCAGTACCCGCTGGGCGAGCCCATCGACAGTTTCGGGCGGTTGAGAGCGGTGGAGGGGCTTAGTGTCGACGACGGCGGACAGGGGTTGGAGAACTGGCGCGCAGATGAGATCTCCGCCGTGCAGGCCGGAGTCGGCGCAGACATGGGCGCACATGCCGCGGCGCTTTGCGGAAACTTGCAGGCGCAGATGCGCGCCGAGCCGGTTGGCGCTTCCGCGACTGAGATGGGAGGCAGAGGCGCGGGCGGACTGAACAGCATGGTAGCGGCGTCTCTATTGGCGCAGAAGCGGGGCTTTGGCGGACTCGGCGGAGCGGAAGCCGGCGGGGGTGGTGCGGGGGAGAGAGGGGAGCGCGAGGCGCAGCTGTTGAACCACCTGCGGCTCCAGCAGTTGCAGCAGCAACAGCACGTGGCGCAGGTGCGCGCGAGTCGGCAGCAGCAGCTGCAAGGGCTGCAGCAGCAGGAGACGGACGAGGAGGCGGGGCTACAGCAGCAGCTGCTGTTGCTGGAACAGCAGCGACTGAGGCAGCAGCACCAGATGAAGCTGCGGCAGATATGGCAGCAGCAGCAGCAGCAAGGCGACGAGGCAGCGTTGGCGGAAGCGGCCCAGGCGGAAGGGTCGAAGAGCCAGCAGCAGTCGCACCAACCGCCGCAGCAGCAATCGCACCAGCAGCAGCAGCAGCATCCGTCGCAGCAGCAGCAGCAAGTTTCGCGTTTCCCCATCCCCGCGCCTGTCTCCTCTCCGCCACTCAACTTCTCCCACTTCTCCCGCCCCGCCGCTCTTTACGGACGCGCCAGCGCCAAGCCCATGGGCGCCACCTCCGCCACCCCTGCGGTCTCCGCCGCCCCCGCCGGTGCTGTAGGCGTCTCGTCAAGTGCGGCGCCTCAACCTGGCGGCAGCGCCGGCATCGCGGGTGTGAGCGCGCGCCTGGCGAGTAAGGCCCTGGCGGCTCTTAAATCTGGCAAGCTCGCGTCGAGTCCCGCGTCGTCCGCTGGCGATTCCAACGCGCTCGCCGCCGCTCCCACCGAGGGGATTCGCGATGCAGCGGTCGGCACGACGGCAACTGCGGCGGCCGGCACGGCGTCAGGAGCGGCGGGCGCGTCGGCACCGGGTGTGTCGAAACCTCCCGCCTCGCGTAGCAACGTGCCGCGCCAGGCCAGCGAGTCCAACGCCAGTGCCGCAGCGATTGCCGGCGCGTCTCACGGCGCGGTGACTGGGAACTGCGGACCAAACGCTTCGCAAAGTGCGGCGAGCCGGCCCTTGCCGTACGCCCCTTTAAACGTGTCGCGCCAGCAGCAGCAGCAGCGGCAGCGGCAGTTGCATGCCGACGCGCGGCAACCCGATCAACCGCAGGAGCCGGCGGGGACTACGGCGGAGCGGTCGCCCGACGCGGGGCACGCGTCGACGGTTACGAGCAACGCGCCCGCGGGATGCGGCGCGAACGGCGCGCACAAAGCGGAAAGGGCCGCGACTGGCAGCTCCGGAATGGTGAGGCGCGCGGAGGAGGGCAGCGGAGGCGGCAGTGGGGGGGCCAGCGGTGGGGAAGGAAGCGCGGGCGGGGGCACCGAGCGGACAGGGCAGGCGGAGCGGCCTGCGCGCACCGCCAGCATGGGCGGAACGAAGGATTCGTGGCTGCCCGGAGCGAGCCGCGGAGGGGCGCGCGGAGGACGGAAGCGGGGGAGGGAGGAAGGGGAGTACGCGCGGACAGAGGACTTGCCCGAGGAGAGTCTGGATACGCGCAGAACGGGCGCGACTGGCGCAACGGGCGCGACGAGCGGGGCGGGACGGAGAAGCGGCATGGAGGGCAGCGCGGCGAAACGTGCGCGCGCCGCTGAAGTGCACAACATGTCGGAGCGGGTGAGTGGCGGCGAGATGAGGGCGCGGGGAGAATGCGGTGACAACGGGCAGGAGGTGGGGGGGAATGTGTATGGGAACACGGAGGGGGAGAGGGGGGATGTGGGGGGGAGGATTGGGGAGCGGAAACGATTGGGGTGGTCTTTTAAGGCGCATGGCGTGCATTCGCCTCTGCTCCTGTGCTCCCGCGCTCCCGCGCTCATGTGCGCCTATCTGCATGCCTCTTGCCCCCGTCCATTCCCAGGCCCCGCCTCGTCAATTCCGCCGTCTCAACTGTTACCGTTTCTGCTGTTCCCCCGTCTCCCCCCGCGCGTGCGTGTGCCCCCTCCCCCTCCCCCCCCCCCAACCCCCACCCCGGCGCGCAGAGGCGGCGGGATCGCATCAACGAGCGCATGAAGGCGCTGCAGCAGCTGATTCCCAACTCTAACAAGGTGCGCTTCCGCTCCCCGCCCCTCGCCCGCTTCCCACTCCCCTCTCCGCGCCCCTCCCTCGCCCCTCGCTCTTCGCCCGCCGCGCCTCCCCACCTCTTCCCACCCCTCCCCCTCCCCATTCCCCCCGCTTCCCCGTGTTCACGATACTCCGCCGATTCCGTGTGTCAAGCCAGTGTTGGGCGCGCTCCCCCATCCACTGTGTTCCTCTATCTCACCGCCACTCTCCTCCCCCGCGTGTTTCCTGCATTCACATCCCTCCTGACCAAAACTTCTCTCGCCTCCCCTCTTCCCCCTCCACACAGACGGACAAGGCATCAATGCTAGACGAGGCGATAGAGTACCTGCGCGTGCTGCAGCTCACTCATTCTCTCCCCTTTCCCTCTCCCCCCTCTCTTCTCCCCCTCTCCCCCCTCTCTTCTCCCCCCCGCCCCTCCGCTCCCCACTTCCAGACGGACAAGGCATCAATGCTAGATGAGGCGATAGAGTACCTGCGCGTGCTGCAGCTCATTCCCTCCTCTCGCTCTCTCCTCATTCCATCCTTCCTGCCCTGCTCCTTCCCCCGTCTCCCACCCACCCCTCTTCAGACGGACAAGGCGTCGATGCTGGACGAGGCCATAGAGTACCTGCGCATGCTGCAGCTGCAGCTGCACGTCATGTCCGCGCGCACAGGCATCGCGCTCCCCCCCGCGCTCGCGCTCCCCCACCCCACCTCCCTCTCCGCCCTCCCGTCCGGCACCCCCTCCGCGGACCAGCTCCCCGCCCCTGGCGCGGCTCTGGGGGGATTCGGGCTCGGGGGAATGGGAATGGGGGGGATGGATTTGGGCGATATGGGCCTGGGGATGGGGGGAATGGGGGGCATGGGCGGAATGGGCGCAATGGGCGGACTAGGGGGATTGGGGCTCGGCATGGGGGGGCTGGGGCTGGGAGGCATGGGAGGTCTGGGTATGGGCATGGGCGCAGGCATGGGCGCAGGCATGGGCGCAGGCATGGGCATGGGTCTATCGGACTTCTCGTCGCTACCAGCAGCACAGCAGGAGATGGGGTTGATGATGGAAATGGCTGCTGCAGGGGCCGCAGGGCGAGCCGCCGACGCTGCTGCTGCAGCAGAAGCGGCAGCGGCAGCAGATGAAGCAGGTGCGATGCAGAGGCAGCGGGTGCAGCAGCAGCAGCAGCGGCTGATGGCTCAGCTGCAGGCGCAGCAGCAGCAGCGCGAGCTGCAGCGGGAGCAGCTGCAGCAGTTGCAGCACGAAGCCCAGCAGGTGCAGCAGCAGCAGCAGCAGCAGCAGCAGCAGCAGCGGGAGAGGGCAGCGCTGGGAGTGGGCATGCAGGGCGAGGAGGCTCTAAATGGGCTTAGTGGGGGCGGCGGTGGTGGTGATGGCGGGTGTGGGGCGATGGGCGGTATGGGCGTGGCAGCGGGGGGTGCAGAAAGGGGGGAGGGCGGGCGGCAGGTGCGGGCGGCAGGGGTGGACCCTATGGAAGCGTACCTGGCACGGCACCAGCGCATGCAGCAGCAGCACCAGCACCAGCAACACATGCAGCAACAGCACATGCAGCAGCAGCAGCAGGTCAGCACATCGCACAATGCCTCTCCGCTGTTCTCGTCGCCTCTCCCTTTCCTTCTCCCCCATTCCCCTCTCCCATATCCCCGCTCCCCTCGCTTCCTTCCCCTCTCCTCCTCGTTTCTCTCCTGAAAGCTCTCTTGTCCTTCGGGCCCTTCTTCTTTCCACTCCCCTATGCCCCTCTTGCATGCACTGGTCTCCCTTCTCTCTGCTCCTCTCCCACCACCCTCAACGCCATATCAATTGCACTCATGCTCTTCTTTTAATCCCTTTCCTTTCCTCTTCTCTTTGCAGCCTCTCAACCTGGAGATGTACCATGCCTTCCTGCAGCAGCAGCAGCAACAGCAATAATTGCATCTCTGTGATACTAACAGTAGCAGCTACTAATGCATGGCCGCAAGGCGCCTGGATCCTCTCTTGCTCAATGTGGCAAAAGTCCAATTATTTAGCTGCGTAACATGCGCAAGTGTTTGTAGGAGAAAGGAACGAGTTGTGTACATATAGCATGAGTCTTGTCCTTCTGACATCCTGCAATGTTATTTCTATCATAATATTAGAAGTTTAATAAATATGGTGCATACCGAATCCTACTGCAGGTGACTGTATTTCACGATTTCGCTTCATTCCTGCGCGGACGGAGGTGGCTGCTAGCCGTCGGGCTTGTGCGCGGGGAAGATGAACCAACTGCTGCGGAGTCCGATTCCGAACTGTCGCCGTCAAGCGCAGGGGGATAGAGCGGAACGTTACTTGGCGGGGGAGGGTGATGTAACAGGCGAAGCTGCGAATATGGGAAAAGGTAACATTCATCGCCCATCGACGGCATTCCAGTGATCCGTACAACCCACCAGCTTTCGCGAAATGACAGGTTGTCGGCGCCTGGACCTGAAATGACCCGCTAAGGCAACGCGTCCTTTTGATGATGCCAGCTCCGTTGGTCAGTTAGTTACAGTCTGCCTCATAGAAAGCTAACCCGATTGACTTTTCTCTTACCACTTATGCACACACCTGCTCCCTGCCCTCCGCCACACTCTTAGCTTTAGCCCGCGCGCACCGCTCGGGCCTTGCTTACAGCCCAACAATAACGCCTTTCCTCCGACCTCCTCCCCACGCACCTCGCATCACGAACTCGAGCCGCCTGTGTTTTTTACGACTTGTTCCCTCCGCTAGCTGCCCGGAGAACTGGGAAGGGAAGCCAGAGAAGGAAGCGATCGATTCTCGTTTCTCCGCCGGCTTTTGCGCCCAAACGCTCCTGTTCACCGCCGCGCAAAACTTGCGCCATTCGCGCACCCCGCTGCGCGGCGATGGAAATACAGCTCGCGGCGGCAGCAGTGCGCGCGCTCGAGGCGGCGCTCAAGCGGAAGCTTGAGGGGGAGGCGGTCGGGGACTTCAACGTCGACGCTGCGGCGGAAGCTTCTGCGCTCCTGAAGCGCGCGCGCGGCAACTCCGAGGGAGGCGCGGCCACGCAGAGCGGTAGACCCGAGGCTGGCGCAGCAGGTCGCACCGACGGTTTTGCCGATCGCGGGGATGCTAATAACGCGGACGCTCATCGCTCAGAAAGTTCCAAGAGACCAGCGGTGGGCGGCAGCCGGCCGGCCGCGCGAGGCGGCGCCGATGACGTCATGCCGACGCGATCTGAGCTGGAGGCGATTTGGCAGTTAGTGCACTCGGGGTACTTCGCGGGCGGCGGGGAGGGGGAGCTGCGCGAGGGGCAGGGTGCGCACGAAGCGGCGGATTTAGCGGGCGCTTCCGGGAGCAGAGGGGAAGGGTCTTTGCCACGTGCCGTGGGAACGTCTGAGGTGGCAGCGCGAGAGGGAAGGGCGATTCGGAAGGCGTGGGAGGAGTCTCTTTCCGCGCAAGGCGGAGGCGCGGGAGAGCGGGGTGGAAGGGGGGATGACTTTGCGGGCGGCGGGGTCCAGCAGTCGTCGAAGAAAGGGCAGAACCTGGGCCCCCAGGCCATGGCCGCGCGGGTGAGCGCTCGGGGGAAAGGCGCAAGGAGGGGCGGTTGAAGGGGGGGAGGAGGGGGAGAGTGATGCGCGGCAGCGCGGGGTAATGGGTGGATGTGGGGTGGCGGATATAGGGAAGCGGAAACCTATCGGTGTAGGGTGGATGCCTTGCGTCGCCCAGTGTCGTGAGTGAGACAAGACAGACGGGCAAGAGAGATTCTTATGAGTGCCTTCCCTCCCTGTCTTCCCACCCCGCCCCCCTGCACACAAACTGTCACCATTCAGCCAATCTCCCCCCACACACTCTTTACCCCATCCCCCTCGCACGCGTCGGGGTGCCGCACCCGCGCGCCCCTCCTCTTCTTCTCTCCCTTCTCTCTCACCCTCCCCCTTTCAGATGCGGTGGGAGCGGGTGAACGCACGCATGAGGGTGCTGCAGGGGCTGGTGCCGGGGGCGGCAACGATGACAACAGAGAGCTTCCTGCTCCTCGCTGTCAACCCCCCTCCTCCCCCCGTCCCCCTTCCCCCCGCGCTCCTCCACCCCCCCTTCCCTCACCTCCGCAGATGCGGCGGGAGCGAGTGAACGCGCGCATGAGGGTGCTGCAGGGGCTGGTGCCGGGCGCAGCCACGATGACGACCGAGAGCTTCCTGCTCCTCTCTCTCACCGCTCCCCCCCCCCCCCCCCTTCTTCCCCCCCTTCCTCCCCGCACTTCCCCCCCCCCCCCCAACCCCTCAGATGCGGCGGGAGCGAGTCAATGCGCGCATGAGGGTGCTGCAGGGGCTGGTGCCGGGGGCGGCAACGATGACAACGGAGAGCTTCCTGCTGGAGGCAGTTCACTACGTGCGCTTCCTGCTGCAGCAGGTCATGGTGCGTTCACTGCTGCTGTGTTCCACTTCCACCCGCCCCCTCCCGGTGCGTCTCCTGCTGGTGTGTGGCGTTGTAACCAAGGCTGTGTGGCATTGAGTCGACTCCCCTTCCTGCTGGAGGCAGTTCACTCCGTGCGCTTCCTGCTGCAGCAGGTCATGGTGCGTTCACTGCTGCTCCGCTCCCTCCCGGTGTGTCCCCTGCTGCTCTCCTCTCCTCTCCCCCCCCCCACACGGGTGCGTGTTGCTCTGCCCCCCACTCCCCCCTGGTGCGTTCCCTGCTGCTCCCTCCTTCCTTTCCTGCCGCCCTTTCTCTTCTGCGCTCCTCCACACCCCCCTTTCTCCTTATTCCCCTTTTCCCCACCCCCTTCTCTCCTTATCCCCCCACTCCTCACCCCACCCCTCTCCCCCGCTGCTCGCCCTCCGCCTTTGCAGGAGCTATCAGAGCTTTATACCCCTCAGAACCGCAACAGGGAGGAGGGGGAGGGGGAGAGTGGCGAGGGGCAGAGCCGAGCGGGGGAGGGGGCTGGGTGCAGTGTTGAAGGGGGCGCTGGAGGGAAGGGTGACGTGGACAGCGAGTTGAGGCGGGAAGGGCTGCGATTGGTGCGCGTGGATCGGCTGTTGCCGATAGTGGGGGTGGGTGGGCTGCTGGATTGTATTCTGGTGAAGCAGCAGCAGCGGGAGGAGCAGCGGCAGGAGGACGAGGGGAGGAATGAGGAGAGGGAGGAGGGGGAAGAAGGGATGGGAGGCGAGGAGGGAGAGGATGGGGAGGAGCAGGAGGGGGACATGTTGAGAGAGGGATCAAACTCACCCCTGTCGGAAGGATGATTGGGGGGGAGGGGGGGGGGGGGGAAGGGGAGAGGGAGCGGGGTTGTTCATTATTGTCCACCTCGTTATGGTGATGAATATAGATCAGAATAACAGGCGAATAACTGCGGCTGGAGGGAAAAGAATTGCCATGCAAACAGGTTCGGGTTCCATCGCAGAGCTTGGTTTATATTGGATCGGACACATGTCTGGGGGTTTTAGCAGATATGGTATGTCACTTTTAAACCTACCTACTTGTTGCGAAGTAGTGCCATGTTGGCAATGGTTCACCTGGAAGAGTCGAGGAAACCTTTGTATCGAGGATTTCTAGAAGAATGGTCTCCCAGATCCGTTCCTGCAACAGCTGATTCGCCCTCTGCTGATTTCGATTGGCTGCTTCGAGACTTGTGTGAGTTGAGACCCGATTTCTGCACAGCCTGACTTGCTGACCACCTCGCACGCTTCTTCGAGATTAATTCCTCCTCGTAGCGACGACGCGTTGGTCCTCTCAATCAGCCTTCGCGAATCGCAATAGCCTGCGTTGTTCTCGCCGTCCTTCGCGGTTGATATCTCTCGCCCATGGCTGCCGTCGCCGCATCGCTCGCGCCCCTCGCGTCCTGCGCCGTTCCGTCTCGGTGCAGCCTGAGGCAGGGCAGCTCGGCGCGCTCTGCTGAAGCAAAGGCACTGGTCCACGTGTCGCACATCAACAGGCTCAGGTGCAGCTGGTTGGGCGAAGAGCGAGTTTGAGTTCGCGTCGCGTTGTTCTCTCCATCATAGCTGACTAGCAAACGGGTCGCGCGGCTATTGCGGCCAATAGCCGTCGAATGTGTTTCGGAAACGCTTTCCTATATTGCCTTGTTCAACGCATCCCATCGCGTAAAGCAGCCTTCACGTTCCCCCTCTCTGCGTACCCTCCGTCGTCGTGGCAGGGTGTCGCACGCGATCAGTCGGTCGCAGAGCCAGTCTCGTTGCACATGTAAGTCAACAGCCGCATGGCAGTGTGTGTCGCATGTGTCGCATGGCAGTGTGTGTCGCATGTGTCGCATGGCCGTGGGCCGCCGCACGTCTGTTGTGAGTATATTCTTCTCCGCGCTGCGTGCTGGAGTATGCGGCAGCGGCGCAGCGCATCTGTCGTTCTCGCTCGCTCTCGTAGCCTGTGGGTGCGCGGCGCAGCTCCATGGCCCGTGGGTGTGTGTGGATGACGGTGTTTCCGCGCAGCGCTGGGTGGGTGTTGCACGGCAGCAGTGCTCTGTCTTCATCCCTCCCTGCGCTCACCCATGCACTGTCCCTCCATTGCTCCTTTCATCCCTCGCCGCCCTTCGTGCCCCCTCCATGCCCCCTCCTTTAACACTCCCCCCATGCCCCCCTCCTTTAACGCTCCCTCCATGCCCCCTCCTCTAACGCTCCCCCCATGCCCCCTCCTCTAACACTCCCCCCATGCCCCCTCCTCTAACACTTCCCCCATGCCCCCTCCTTTAACACTCCCCCCATGCCCCCTCATTTAATACTCCCCCCATGCCCCCCTTTTAACACTGCCTCCATGCCCCCTCCTCTAACACTCCCCCCATGCCCCCTCCTTTAACACTCCCCCCATGCCACCCTCCTTTAACGCTCCCTCCATGCCCCCTCCTCTAACGCTCCCTCCATGCCCCCTCCTTTAACACTCTCCCCATGCCCCCTCCTTTAACACTACCCCCATGCCCCCTCCTCTAACACTTCCCCCATGCCCCCTCCTCCAACACTTCCCCCATGCCCCCTCCTCTAACACTCCCTCCATGCCCCCTCCTTTAACACTCCCCCCATGCCCCCTCCTTTAACACTCCCCCCATGCCCCCTCCTCTAACACTCCCCCCATGCCCCCTCCTTTAACACTCCCTCCATGCCCCCTCCTCTAACACTCCCTCCATGCCCCCTCCTTTAACACTTCCCCCATGCCCCCTCCTCTAACACTCCCTCCATGCCCCCTCCTTTAACACTCCCCCCATGCCCCCTCCTTTAACACTCCCCCCATGCCCCCTCCTCTAACACTCCCCCCATGCCCCCTCCTCTAACACTCCCCCCATGCCCCCTCCTTTAACACTCCCCCCATGCCCCATCCTTTAACACTCCCCCCATGTCCCCTCCTTTATCACTCCCCCCATGTCCCCTCCTCTAACACTCCCCCCATGCCCCCTCCTCTAACACTCCCCCCATACCCCCTCCTCTAACACTCCCCCCATGCCTCCTCCTCTAACACTCCCTCCATGCCCCCTCCTTTAACACTCCCTCCATGCCCCCTCCTTTAACACTCCCCCCATGCCCCCTCCTTTAACACTCCCCCCATGCCCCCTCCTCTAACACTCCCCCCATGCCCCCTCCTCTAACACTCCCCCCATGCCCCCTCCTCTAACACTCCCCCCATGCCCCCTCCTTTAACACTCCCCCCATGCCCCCTCCTCTAACACTCCCTCCATGCCCCCTCCTTTAACACTCCCTCCATGCCCCCTCCTTTAACACTCCCTCCATGCCCCCTCCTTTAACACTCCCCCCATGCCCCCTCCTTTAACACTCCCCCCATGCCCCCTCCTCTAACACTCCCCCCATGCCCCCTCCTCTAACACTCCCCCCATGCCCCCTCCTCTAACACTCCCCCCATGCCCCCTCCTCTAACACTCCCCCCATGCCCCCTCCTTCAACACTCCTCCCATGCCCCCTCTTTTAACACTCCCCGCATGCCCCCACGCTGCCTTCCGTTCTTCCTCTCCCCCTGCGTGCATCCTACCTCCTCTGCACCTCCGCAGCGCTCACTGTCAGGGCCGCAGGTGAATCTGGAGACACACCGGCCACTGATTCCGCTGCCGCAGCTGCAGCTTCTGCAGGGAGCAAGCCCACACCTGAGGCAGCCTCGGCAGAGTCATCATCAGCCTCGGGAGTGCCGGTTCTGACCATAGTGGCCGGCGTTTTTGTCTTTGCCCTCGTGATCTTCGCGCTCTTCTCGCTCGCCAGTGCCATTCTGGGCATTTTCTTGCGCTAAAAATGATTTGCGACAAACTGGTTTGTAAATGTTTGATTCATGCAAGTCTGATTAAAAACTTTGTATAGCACCAACAATCAGTAGGTGTACAATACGAAGTATCGTGACTTTCTGTGTCACGCTTTCGCAAGTCCCGACGGCGAAATCTGCGAACCTTGTTGCTGGCACCGACACTCGTCACCCTCACGTCGTTCAGTGATTCCTTACGACTAGCATTTCACCTGACGACGCGACTCATGACGAAGGATGGCAGAAAGCGGAGAAAGCGCGACGGCGACGACGGCGAGAGCGACGGAGAGGAGGGCGGGAAGGGGAGGCGAGGCGAGGAGGGAGGGAGGGAGAGGAAAGTAAGGAAGGAGAAGGAGCGAAAAGGAGGGCGACTCGAGAAAGGTGAGAGGCGACGGAAACGACGGGAGAAGAAGCGACGGTCTTTAAGCAACGATGACGCCTCGAGCTCTGATTGGTCGGGCTCCAGCGGAGGTAGCAGCAGTAGTCTGAGCGAGAGCAGCAGCGATGCGGATTCTGATTCGTCGTCAGGTGATCGCAAGAAGCGTGAGCGGCGGCGGGAGAAGCGGGAGAAGCGGGAGAAGCGGGGAAAGGAGAAGGAGAAGCGAAGAAAGAAGGAAGGAGGGAGGGAGCACGAAGAGGATAATGGGTCGGCAGAGGACCGGTTGGAGCGGGATTTGCGGCGGATGATGCGGGAGTTCCCGTTGGACGTGTCGCACGACCTCGTGCGCCTCCTCGAGCGCGTCGACGGCGGTGAGGCGGTCGACGTTGGCGGCATCCCGGACCGCCGCCTCAAGAAGCTTCTCGGAAGCATCTTCCGCTCGCTGGGGATAGATTCCCAAGGCAAGAGCAAAGGCCGAGGCGGTAAGAGCAAGCGCGCCTCGTCGTCCTCGCGCGCTTCGTTGTACCAGCTTCCCAGCGCGGCCCCGCGATGCCTGCCACGTGTCGTGCCGCTAGTGGCCAAGCTGCTGCAGAATCTTCCAGATCCCGAATCTGCTGCTGCTGCTGCTGGGGCTGAAAAAGGTGGCGGTAGGGGGAAGGGGGAAGAGCGCGGAGAGGGGAGGGAAGGCGGAAGCGACCTGGCGGAAGGGGGAGGAAGGGGAGGCGACGAAGCGGCAGTGGTGATAGGCCCCTCGCGGAAGGGAGGGGGCGACGAGGGGGGAGACGGAGAGGGGGAGAGGGAGGGGGAGGGCGGAGTGGGGAGAGGAGGGAGAGGGAGGGGAGAGGGCGAGGGCGAGGGGGAGGAGGCAGCAGAGGCAGCGAGGAGAAGACGGTGAGCAACACTTGTTCAGTAGCAAGGGCATTCGGGGGGATCGAGATGCTTGGTGTAAGAGGGACATTCCGGGTGAGAGGGGTGCTTGGGGCAAGAGAGGTGCTGGAAGGAAGAGGGGGCGTGTGAGGGGGGCAAGGGCACATGCTTTTAGGGGGACGGGGGCCGTGTGCTTTCCATGCTACAGCATCCCTGCCCACCCGTAAACCCCTTCTGGTCCACCCCGCCCACGGTTCAAGCCCTCCCTCCACACTGCCCCCCCTCCCTCCACACCGCCCTCCCTCCCTCCACACCGCCCCCCCTCCCTCCAAACCAACCACCCCCCACCCTCCAAACCAACCACCCCCCACCCTCCCGCCCCCAACTCCCCCCAACTCTTCCTCCCCCCCTTCCGCCCTCCCCTTAGGAGCATGGGCCCCGCCATGCCCACAGCAGCGCAGCTGGTGCCCCACCATGCTCTCCCCCAAATCATCCCATCTCTCCCCACTTCCCCATCCCCCTCTCTTGATGTCCCCGGCACCAGCATGGGCCCGGCCATGCCCACGGCAGCGCAGCTGGTCTTCCCAGTCCTCACATGTTGCCCGCCTTTATCCCCCAAATTCCCCCTCTTTTCCCCCCTCCCCCGGTACCAGCATGGGCCCCGCCATGCCCACGGCAGCGCAGCTGGCCGCTGCAGCGTCGCTCACCCGCGCCGTGGAGGAGATGGAGTGAGTGGTGGGGGAGGGGGATGCAGTGAGAGGGGGGAGCGGTGGGGAGAGGGAGGAGGGGTGGGGGATGGGGGTTGGGCGTGGGTGCACCTGGCTGCTGCAGCGTCGCTCACGCGCGCCGTGGAGGAGATGGAGTGAGTGGTGGTGGGAGGGGGATTGGGAGAGGGAGTGAGATGGTGGAGGGGTGGGGGTCGGGGGTGGGTACAGGGGCCCCACCATACCCACCGCAGCACTGCTGGCGGCTGCAGCGTCGCTCACGCGCGCCGTGGAGGAGATGGAGTGAGAGGAGGGGGAGGGTTGGGGAGAGGGAATGAAGGGAGGGGGAATGGGTTCAGGTGAAGGCAGCAGCTTGCGGCTGCAGCGTCGCCCACCCGCTCCGTGGAGATGGAGTGAGTGTTGGGGGGGGGAGGGGATGGGGGTTGGCCATGGGGGCAGAGGGAATGGGTGGGTAAAGTGAGTTCTTCTGTGAGGATAGCTGCCCTGCCCTCACTGTAACAACGCAGCTTGCGGCTGCAGCGTCGCCCACCCGCTCTGTGGAGATGGAGTGAGTGTTGGGGGGAGGGGTGCGGAGAGGGGTGGGCGTGGGAATACAGGGAAAGGGTGGGTGGGAGGGCACTGGGATAGGGTGGATGCACAGCAGCGCTGCTGGCCGCTGCAGCGTCGCTCACACGCGCCGTGGAGGAGATGGAGTGAGTGGAGCGTGTGGAGGGGAGAGCGAGTGAAGCGGGGAATGGGGTGAGTTGGGGTGCAGTGAGGTGCAGTGAGGTGCAGTGAGGTGTGCAGTGAGGGTGGCAGCCACGCTCAGCATGTGCTCTAGAGGAGTGTTGGTCATCTTTCCGCTACCATCTCTGCATCCTCTCTCCATCCACCATCATGCCCCCATCATCACACACCCACCATCCTCCTATCATCCCCTCATCAATCCCCAATCACCCCCCCATCAGCCCTCAATCACCCCAGCATCATCACCCCCCACCATCCCCCCATCCTCCCATCAATCATCGCAGGGAGGCGGAGCAGGCGCTACAAGAAAGCCCCTTTATGGGCCCCATGCCTTCCGCCCTGGCTGCTGAGGCGCATTCGCTAACATTGCCCCCCTATCGCACCCCCATTGTACCCCCCTATCGCACCCCCATTGTACCCCCCTATCGCACCCCCATTGTACCCCCCTATCGCACCCCCATTGTACCCCCCTATCGCACCCCCATTGTACCCCCCTATCGCACCCCCATTGTACCCCCCTATCGCACCCCCATTGTACCCCCCTATCGCACCCCCATTGTACCCCCCTATCGCACCCCCATTGTACCCCCCTATCGCACCCCCATTGTACCCCCTATCCTCCCACCCATCACTGCAGGGAGGCGGAGCAGGCGCTGCAAGAGAGCCCGTTTGTGGGCCCCATGCCGCCCGCCCTGGCTGCTGAGGCACCTGCACCCCCAACAACCAACGACCAGCGCTGCCCCTATCCTCCACCCACCGTGTTCCCCCCCCATTCACTGCAGGGAGGCGGAGCAGGCGCTACAGGAGAGCCCATTTGTGGGCCCCATGCCGCCCGCCCTGGCTGCTGAAGCACCTGCACCCCCAACAACCAACGACCAGCGCTGCCCCTATCCTCCCCCCACCGTGCTCCCCCCCATTCACTGCAGGGAGGCGGAGCAGGCGCTGCAGGAGAGCCCATTTGTGGGCCCCATGCCGCCCGCCCTGGCTGCTGAAGCAGCCAACGCGACCCAGGCGGAGAAATACGAGGAGGTGAGGGGAGGGGGGTGAGGGAAGGAGGTGGGGAGTAAGAGGTAGGGATGACAGGTGCTTCACTGCGATCATGCCTCCCCTCCTGCTCTCCTGCACGCGTGCTCACCTGCTCTCCTGCACGCGTGCTCACCTGCTCTCCTGCACGCGTGCTCACCTGCTCTCCTGCACGCGTGCTCACCTGCTCTCCTGCACGCGTGCTCACCTGCTCTCCTGCACGCGTGCTCACCTGCTCTCCTGCACGCGTGCTCACCTGCTCTCCTGCACGCGTGCTCACCTGCTCTCCTGCACGCGTGCTCACCTGCTCTCCTGCACGCGTGCTCACCTGCTCTCCTGCACGCGTGCTCACCTGCTCTCCTGCACGCGTGCTCACCTGCTCTCCTGCACGCGTGCTCACCTGCTCTCCTGCACGCGTGCTCACCTGCTCTCCTGCACGCGTGCTCACCTGCTCTCCTGCACGCGTGCTCACCTGCTCTCCTGCACGCGTGCTCACCTGCTCTCCTGCACGCGTGCTCACCTGCTCTCCTGCACGCGTGCTCACCTGCTCTCCTGCACGCGTGCTCACCTGCTCTCCTGCACGCGTGCTCACCTGCTCTCCTGCACGCGTGCTCACCTGCTCTCCTGCACGCGTGCTCACCTGCTCTCCTGCACGCGTGCTCACCTGCTCTCCTGCACGCGTGCTCACCTGCTCTCCTGCACGCGTGCTCACCTGCTCTCCTGCACGCGTGCTCACCTGCTCTCCTGCACGCGTGCTCACCTGCTCTCCTGCACGCGTGCTCACCTGCTCTCCTGCACGCGTGCTCACCTGCTCTCCTGCACGCGTGCTCACCTGCTCTCCTGCACGCGTGCTCACCTGCTCTCCTGCACGCGTGCTCACCTGCTCTCCTGCACGCGTGCTCACCTGCTCTCCTGCACGCGTGCTCACCTGCTCTCCTGCACGCGTGCTCACCTGCTCTCCTGCACGCGTGCTCACCTGCTCTCCTGCACGCGTGCTCACCTGCTCTCCTGCACGCGTGCTCACCTGCTCTCCTGCACGCGTGCTCACCTGCTCTCCTGCACGCGTGCTCACCTGCTCTCCTGCACGCGTGCTCACCTGCTCTCCTGCACGCGTGCTCACCTGCTCTCCTGCACGCGTGCTCACCTGCTCTCCTGCACGCGTGCTCACCTGCTCTCCTGCACGCGTGCTCACCTGCTCTCCTGCACGCGTGCTCACCTGCTCTCCTGCACGCGTGCTCACCTGCTCTCCTGCACGCGTGCTCACCTGCTCTCCTGCACGCGTGCTCACCTGCTCTCCTGCACGCGTGCTCACCTGCTCTCCTGCACGCGTGCTCACCTGCTCTCCTGCACGCGTGCTCACCTGCTCTCCTGCACGCGTGCTCACCTGCTCTCCTGCACGCGTGCTCACCTGCTCTCCTGCACGCGTGCTCACCTGCTCTCCTGCACGCGTGCTCACCTGCTCTCCTGCACGCGTGCTCACCTGCTCTCCTGCACGCGTGCTCACCTGCTCTCCTGCACGCGTGCTCACCTGCTCTCCTGCACGCGTGCTCACCTGCTCTCCTGCACGCGTGCTCACCTGCTCTCCTGCACGCGTGCTCACCTGCTCTCCTGCACGCGTGCTCACCTGCTCTCCTGCACGCGTGCTCACCTGCTCTCCTGCACGCGTGCTCACCTGCTCTCCTGCACGCGTGCTCACCTGCTCTCCTGCACGCGTGCTCACCTGCTCTCCTGCACGCGTGCTCACCTGCTCTCCTGCACGCGTGCTCACCTGCTCTCCTGCACGCGTGCTCACCTGCTCTCCTGCACGCGTGCTCACCTGCTCTCCTGCACGCGTGCTCACCTGCTCTCCTGCACCTGCTCTCCTGCACGCGTGCTCACCTGCTCTCCTGCACGCGTGCTCACCTGCTCTCCTGCACGCGTGCTCACCTGCTCTCCTGCACGCGTGCTCACCTGCTCTCCTGCACGCGTGCTCACCTGCTCTCCTGCACGCGTGCTCACCTGCTCTCCTGCACGCGTGCTCACCTGCTCTCCTGCACGCGTGCTCACCTGCTCTCCTGCACGCGTGCTCACCTGCTCTCCTGCACGCGTGCTCACCTGCTCTCCTGCACGCGTGCTCACCTGCTCTCCTGCACGCGTGCTCACCTGCTCTCCTGCACGCGTGCTCACCTGCTCTCCTGCACGCGTGCTCACCTGCTCTCCTGCACGCGTGCTCACCTGCTCTCCTGCACGCGTGCTCACCTGCTCTCCTGCACGCGTGCTCACCTGCTCTCCTGCACGCGTGCTCACCTGCTCTCCTGCACGCGTGCTCACCTGCTCTCCTGCACGCGTGCTCACCTGCTCTCCTGCACGCGTGCTCACCTGCTCTCCTGCACGCGTGCTCACCTGCTCTCCTGCACGCGTGCTCACCTGCTCTCCTGCACGCGTGCTCACCTGCTCTCCTGCACGCGTGCTCACCTGCTCTCCTGCACGCGTGCTCACCTGCTCTCCTGCACGCGTGCTCACCTGCTCTCCTGCACGCGTGCTCACCTGCTCTCCTGCACGCGTGCTCACCTGCTCTCCTGCACGCGTGCTCACCTGCTCTCCTGCACGCGTGCTCACCTGCTCTCCTGCACGCGTGCTCACCTGCTCTCCTGCACGCGTGCTCACCTGCTCTCCTGCACGCGTGCTCACCTGCTCTCCTGCACGCGTGCTCACCTGCTCTCCTACACGCGTGCTCACCTGCTCTCCTGCACGCGTGCTCACCTGCTCTCCTACACGCGTGCTCACCTGCTCTCCTACACGCGTGCTCACCTGCTCTCCTACACGCGTGCTCACCTGCTCTCCTACACGCGTGCTCACCTGCTCTCCTACACGCGTGCTCACCTGCTCTCCTACACGCGTGCTCACCTGCTCTCCTACACGCGTGCTCACCTGCTCTCCTACACGCGTGCTCACCTGCTCTCCTACACGCGTGCTCACCTGCTCTCCTGCCCCTCTCCCACCTGGATGCATTCCAGAAGCCCCACCTGAGCGCGGATCCAACATGGGGGTGGCTGCTGCTGCTGCTGCTGCTGCTGCTGCTGCTGCTGCTGCTGCTGCTGCTGTTGCGCGTTGCATGCCTGCCTGCCTTCCATCGTATCGTGCCCTCCTCTCTCCCTCCTCTCAGGTGGAGCGTGTTTTGAGTCGACTCAAAACACGGCTGCCTGCTGCTGCTGCTGCTGCGCGTTGCCTGCCTGCCCTCCATCGTATCATTGCCTCTTCTCTCCCTCCTCTCAGGTGGAGCGCATTTTGGACCCGGAGCTAACTGCGTACGCCATCTTGGAGGTGACGCCTGCTGCTGCTTGTTGCATGCCTGCCTGCCCTCCATCATGCCCTTCCCCTCCTTCTCCCCCCCCCCAGGTGGAGCGCATTCTTGACCCAGAGCTGACTGCGTACGCTATCTTGGGGGTAACGCCTGCTGCGGGCGACAGCGAGATTAAGAAGCGGTGAGCGGAGGGGGCGGGAGGGGGAGAGTCAAGCATTGGAGGTCAGGGTGGAGGCGGGGGGTGAGGGGATGAACTTGATGCTCCTGCTTGGGCTGCTGGGGGTGACGGCTGCTGCGGGCGACAGCGAGATTAAGAAGCGGTGAGCGGAGGGGGCGGGAGGGGGAGAATGGAGGATGGAAGGGGAGAGGAGGGGTTGGAGGTGGAAACCTTGGGGGTGGGGAGCTGTGAACGTGGATACTCGGAGGTTGCTAGTGAACGTGGATACTCGGAGGTTGCTAGTGAACGTGGATACTCGGAGGTTGCTAGTGAACGTGGATACTCGGAGGTTGCTAGTGAACGTGGATACTCGGAGGTTGCCAGTTACTGGAAAGCACCTCTGCTGGTGCATGTGCATCCAGATAAGCCACGTGGTTGTTTTGAGACGTCTCAAAACAGTTACTGGAAAGCACCTCTGCTGGTGCATGTGCATCCAGACCAAAGCACCTCTGCTGGTGCATGTGCATCCAGATAAGTGCAGCCACGCATGCACAGGAGGCGTCAGGAAGAATAGCTTCCCAGGCCATCTTCATCCCACACCGTGAATCCTAAATGCCCCTCCCTCCATCCCTTTTGATGCCTTCCTTCTTCTCCCCCCCCTCCACTGCACACAGGCTTTTTTTTTTTAGAATTCTCAAAATGCCCCTCCATCCCTTTTGATGCCTTCCTTCTTCTCCCCCCCCCCCCTTCCACTGCACACAGCTACTGGAAAGCACCTCTGCTGGTGCATGTGCATTCTGCATGTGTATAGGAGGCGTCAGGACTCAGGAATAGTAGCTTCCCGGATCATCTTCACTCCACCCCATGAATCCTAAATGCCCCTCCCTCCATCCCTTTTCATGCCTTCCTTCTTCTCCCCCCCCCCCTTCCACTGCACACAGCTACTGGAAAGCGTCGCTGCTGGTGCATCCGGACAAGTGCAGCCACCAGCGAGCGCAGGAGGCGTTTCTGCCTCCTACCTCCTAGTCCTGCACCATCTGCATCCCACAACACGGATCCGTAACCCGTCCCCATCCCTACTCCCCTTTTCGTCCCCGCTCCACGCACAGCTACTGGAAAGCATCGCTGCTGGTGCATCCGGACAAGTGCAGCCACCCGCGCGCGCAGGAGGCGTTTCTGCGGCTGAACGACGCCGTGAACCGACTCAAGGACCCCAGTAAGGTGAGCTTCTGTGGAAGCTCCCCTTCTGTTTCACAAGTGTGTGCGTGAGCGTGTGTGTGTTTCTGCGGCTCAACGACGCCGTGAACCGACTCAAGGACCCCAGTAAGGTGCGCCACTTGGCAGCGCACGCATGCATGCATGTATGCACAGGCGCGTGTACATGTGAGGCTCAACGATGCAGTGAACCGACTCAAGGACCCCAGTAAGGTGCGCTGCTCTTGAACAACCGCCGTGAACCGACTCAATGATGACGAGGTGCCTCTGGGGTGCCTCTGTGGCTCAACGATGCAGTGAATCGACTCAAGGACCCCAGTAAGGTGCGCTGCTCTTGAACACCCCGCCCGACCCTTCAGCCCGCCAACACAGGAGGCAAGGTACGCAGCCGTGCAAGCCCGCCTGCATGCGTGCATGCATGCATATGCGTGTGTGTGTGATTGCCTCTGCGGCTCAATGATGCAGTGAACCGACTCAAGGACCCCAGTAAGGTGCGCTGCTCTGGAAGCCCCCCCTTTTTCAGGCTGCTATCAACCCAGAGTCAGGCATGCAACCATGCATTCGCATGTGCATATGCATATCGTGTCTCAAGGCCAATGGGATCAGGCCTAATCGTCCGAAAGTTGGGGTCTTTTTAGCCCACCTTAAAGCTCGCGTCTCATATTTCTACTATCCAACCAAGTGTTAAACGGTTGGAATTTGGTAACAGCAAAGTTTGTCGCAAAGCACACCAAAGCAAGGGGTGGTTTGGGAAAGTTGGCTGTCGCACACTTCCCGTGCACACCAAGCGTTTACAACTTCCAAAAATATGAGACTCTGAAACTCAACATTGACAGAAGGGGGGACCGAACCTGTCCCCCTTGGCTCGTTTTCCATCCAAACCAACCCACCCTGGTTTGTTTTGGCCTCGACTGTTTTGGTAGTTCGCTGTGATTTTTTCACCCACTCGTCAAATATTTCGTTTTCGTTACCCAATCACAGTCGGGCAAACCCAACCAAGTGTTAAACGGTTGGAAATATGAGACGCGAGCTTTAAAGCCCACGCACTCGAGGACAACGCTCATGCGATTTGGGACACTTGAGGCACCGCACCAACCCACCCAGGAGAAAAAACTGGAAAAAAACTTATCTTGACACTAGAGGCTGCACAACTTCATAACTTTCGTGACAGCCCAGCCTCTATGCAGTGCTTTCTGGAGGTGAGGGGCATCGATCCCCTTACCTATCGCATGCAAAGCGATCGCTCTACCATGTGAGCTACACCCCCGATGTTCATCCATCATGCAAGCTTATATCCCTGAAAACCTTTATCCCTCCGTGAATACATGCATTTGCATGGGCTTTCACATCTTGGCATGCGTGCTCTGCATGTACATCTGTGTACGTGTGTGCTCATCTGTGTGCATGTGTGTACGTGTGTGCTCATCTGTGTGCATGTGTGTACGTGTGTGCTCATCTGTGTGCATGTGTGTACGTGTGTGCTCATCTGTGTGCATGTGTACGTGTGTGCTCATCTGTGTGCATGTGTACGTGTGTGCTCATCTGTGTGCATGGGCTTTAACATCTTGGCATGCGTGCTCTGCATCCTGCTCTCATCCATTTTAATGGATGTGGGCGGGTGCACGTATCTGTTCATATGTGCATGCATGTGTGCGCATGCGTGTGCATCTTTCTGCATGTGTGTGAATGCATGTGTGTGAATGCATGTGTGTGCATGCATGTGTGTGAATGCATGTGTGTGCATGCATGTGTGTGCATGCATGTGTGTGCATGCATGTGTGCGCTTGCGTGTGCATCTGTCTGCATACGTGAATGCATTTCTATGGACCTGTGTGCATGCATGGCTGGCTGGCTGTGCAGAGATCGGTGGTGGATGCGGAGATTGCAGCCAGGGAGGAGCGCAAAGAAATGGAGGTGAGGGGCTACGGGGCATTGCATGGCATGTGCGTGCATGGCTGTGTATGGCTGTGCGTGCAGAGATCGGTGGTGGATGCGGAGATTGCAGCCAGGGATGAGCGCAAGGCCATGCAGGTGAGAGGGCATGGGGGAATGGAGGGGTTTCCTGGTAAAATAAGCGGGATTGGTGGGATTGGTGGCAAGCTCTCTCGTATGCCGGTCTCCCTCTGCCTCTCTGTTCTTCTCCACGCCCCTCCTCTGCACCCTCTTTCCTTCTGTCATCATGTCTCCATGAGAAAACTCGAGTGGCGCAAGCTCAGAGTGGCGCAAGCTCAGAGTGGCGCAAGCTCAGAGTGGCCTCATTTCCTCTGCCCTTCTAGTGCTCCCATTCCAGTCCCTCTCTCACCACTCTCCATGCTCCCCCCCCACAACCTCTCAGGCGGAGCTAAAGGCGTTGAGGGAGGCAGCAGAGTGGCGCAAGCTCAGAGGTGGGTTGGGGGGGGGGGGGGGGGGGGGGAGGAGAGGAATGGAAAGGGTTTGGAGGGAGGAGGGTTCAGGGGAAACGGAAGGGGGAGGTGGGGGGAAGGGCAGCTCGGGTTCTCCCAACCCCTCAGGCGGAGCTGGGGGCGCTGAGGGAGGCAGTTGAGTGGCGCAAGCTCAGAGGTGGGTGGGGGGGGTAGGGAGAGGGAAAGGGTTAGGAGGGAGGAGGGAAGGGGAGACGAAAATGGGAGGAGGGGAGAACGGCGGGACAGGTTCTCCCCCACCCCTTCAGGCGGAGCTATGGTTGCTGAGGGAGGCGGCAAAGTGGTGCAAGCTCAGAGGTGGGTGGGTGGTGGGGGAGAGAGGGGAAGGGGTTTGGGGAGGGACTGGCGCAAGCTCAGAGGTGGGTGGGTGGGGGGGGAGAGAGGGGAAGGGGTTTGGGGAGAAAATGGCGCAAGCTCAGAGGTGGGTGGGTGGGGGGGGAGAGAGGGGAAGGGGTTTGGGGAGAAAATGGCGCAAGCTCAGAGGCGACCTCCAAGCACAACGTTTCCGCTTTTAACACCACTTTTGACCGCCCTTGACTGCTGTTTACTGCTGCTGGCTTTACATGCACCTGGCAAGGCCCTACTTGGGGATGACGAGCTGCTGGGGACAGCGAGGGGGGAGGGAGGCGGATGGGAGGGGTAGGGGGGATGGAGAGCAAGTGTAACACCTCTGCCCTTGACTCCTACTTCACCTGCCCTTGACCACGAAGCGAGGAGGGTGGGAGGTGGGGGGGGACGGGGATGAACAAGTGTAACACCTCCGCCTTTGACTCCTACTTTACCTGTTCCTCACCACCGGGCGAGGCCCTGCCCGGGGATGACGAGCTGCTGGGGGCAGCGAGGAGGGAGCGCGTGGAGCAAGCAGAACGCCCCCTCCCTTAACTCTCCTCATTTGGCTATTCTTGACTGTGTTGACTGTTGTTGACTCACCTTGACCGCACATGCACCAGGCGAGGCCCTGCCCGGGGATGACGAGGTGCTGGGGGCAGTGAGGAGGCGTGGAACAAGCACTGCGCTGTGTACCTCCTTCACTCTTTACCCGTTCTTGAATGTTGTTGACTTGCCTTGACCGCACATGCACCAGGCGAGGCTCTGCCCGGGGATGACGAGCTGCTGGGGACAGTGAGGAGGGAGGGAGTGGAGCGCGAGACATGGATGACAGAGCTGCCCCCCGAACGACAGGTGGGTGTGGTGTGGTGAGGTGCGGCATGGTGAGGTGTGGCATGCTGTGGTGTGGTGTGGCGTGGTGTGGCGTGGTGTGGTGTGGTGTGGCTTTGTGTGGTGTGGTGTGGCAATGGGCTCCCAGTGGGCTTTCGATTGGCTTCGGATGGGCTCGCGGTGGAACGTTGCCCATGCGCAATTTGGGTGGCATCCCAAACATGCCTATGGAGGAACACGCAGCAGAATCAAATCAGATCGAATTGCACGAACGATGATGGAGCTTGTCTTGCGACAGAATGGTTCGGTCACGACTCACACGTGACAAACACAAGGCCCTCATATGAAAGAACGGCTCAGAACCTCAAGATTACAGGGGTCGAGAAAGGGTTGGGGGAAGTTTATCTGCCGTGGTGGCTGCTGCTTGGGTTGGAGCCACATTCAGGAGTTGGGGATGCGGGTCGCTGTGGTGGGCGTTGCTTGCGTGCTGGTCGCTGTGGTGGGCGGTGCTGACTTTTTAGTTGACTCAAAAGTTGACTTTTGACTCTTGAGTCAACTCAAAAGTTCGCTGGTGAGCACCATGTCACACGCATGGTGGTGTATTTCAACCACAGCATTCTTTAGTTGACTCAAAAGTTGACTTTTGACTCTTGAGTCAACTCAAAAGTTCGCTGGTGAGCACCATGTCACACGCATGGTGGTGTATTTCAACCACAGCATTCTTTAGTTGACTCAAAAGTTGACTTTTGACTCTTGAGTCAACTCAAAAGTTCGCTGGTGAGCACCATGTTACACGCATGGTGGTGTATTTCAACCACAGCATTCTTTAGTTGACTCAAAAGTTGACTTTTGACTCTTGAGTCAACTCAAAAGTTCGCTGGTGAGCACCATGTCACACGCATGGTGGTGTATTTCAACCACAGCATTCTTTAGTTGACTCAAAAGTTGACTTTTGACTCTTGAGTCAACTCAAAAGTTCGCTGGTGAGCACCATGTCACACGCATGGTGGTGTATTTCAACCACAGCATTCTTTAGTTGACTCAAAAGTTGACTTTTGACTCTTGAGTCAACTCAAAAGTTCGCTGGTGAGCACCATGTCACACGCATGGTGGTGTATTTCAACCACAGCATTCTTTAGTTGACTCAAAAGTTGACTTTTGACTCTTGAGTCAACTCAATAGTTCGCTGGTGAGCACCATGTCACACGCATGGTGGTGTATTTCAACCACAGCATTCTTTAGTTGACTCAAAAGTTGACTTTTGACTTTTGAGTCGACTCAATAGTTCGCTGGTGAGCACCATGTCACACGCATGGTGGTGTATTTCAACCACAGCATTTCCTACTAAGCCATGAAGTCATTATGCACGCATGTTCCTTGCGCACACCCACCCAACCTCAAACCAATCACTACCCCATCCCTATCCCCTCGTCCATCTCGTCCCTCTGTCCCTGCCCCTTCTTTTGAGTCGACTCAAAAGGTGTCGTGTGCCATTGTAACGAGGTGACTTTTGAGTCGACTCAAAAGTTAACTACCCCAACCCTATCCCCTCCTCCATCTCGTCTCTCTGTCCCTGCCCCTTCTCCCAACCTCCCCTCCCCTCTCCATCTCCCCCTCCCCTTCCATCTCCCCCCGTCCGTACCCTCTCAGGCGGGCCCGCCAGCTCAGACCAACACATTCTTCAGTCGCAGTGACAAGGTGGGGCGGGGCGACACGTCAGCATGGACCGACAACCCCGAGCAGCGAGCTGCCAGGGCCAAGCAACAGTGAGCGCTAGTTTCCATACTTCACCGCTCCACAACGCTGCACCACTCTGCATCCCTGTTTTACCTCCCCCTCACACGCTCACCTGACACATCAGCATGGACCGACAACCCCGAGCAGCGAGCTGCCAGAGCCAAGCAACTGTGAGCGCCAGCCCAATGTGTCCTTAGTTATCTGTACTGGAGAGTCCAATGGCCAGTCTAGGGGCCCAAAACAAACCCCACCCCTCCATCGGTACCCCTAACTGAACCCACACCTATACGCCTGGTGGCATGTTCCCATCGTGCACCCATCATTCACTTTTTCCCACGCCTGGCATTGCACCCAACTCCCCCAACCGGTTCTGACTGAACCCTCTTTTCAGGTACCTCGAGGCCTATTCCTCTGCTGCCAATGCGCTGGAAGGCCCTTCTGCTGACTCAGCCGCCACCCTGCAGTCACTACAGGACAAGCGCACGGCGGCACTAGTGGACAATCTTGCCGCCCAGAAGCAAGCGGTTTCATTGGTGGAGCAGCACCGGAAGAAACAGGCCGAGGAGGGCAAGAAAAAGAGCAAGGGGAAGGAGAAGGGGAAGGGGAAAGGGGAGGGTGTGGGGAAGGGGAAAGGGGTGAGTGAGAGAGGGGGAGGTGGGGATGCAGGGTGGCGGATGTGGGACAGGGAGAGGGATCTAGAGGTGAAGCCAAAGGCCATGAAGTGGACGGCAGATGGCATGGCTCAGGGCCTTTCCGGGCGGTTCTCGGGTGCACAATCGGGCAGCCGAAAGTTTTTGTAAAAGTTGTCAAGGCGATCAGGAGGCAATGCGCATGTGTTATGCATGGATGTGGGTTTGATGTTTGTGGATTCATCATGTTGAGGATCATATGTGAATGAAGCTAAGAATTGTTGGTATTCTCAGCGAGTTCTCATTGTGGAGAAGTTTTATAGCAGGGAAGAAAGCTGAACGTAGTTACAACTCTGGTAGGGTACCTTTTCTGGCCCAATCTTCCAGTGGCATGATACATGGTGCTAACTGTCCTGCTCCCCCCCAACTAAGTTGGAACTCGAGACATGCACTTTGCTGAAAAAATATTGCGGCAACTACACATTCTACGAGCACCCTTCACAGGGAAGCGGCGCCTGACACACTGGACGCGCAGTAGCAGAAACGCCACACTAGCACCGAATGCGGGTTATTAGGCTGGAGGCGCGGGCTGCGTAGGCTGTGAAGCTGGAGGGAGGGGGGGAGGGAGGGAGGTGGGGGCGGGAATGGCCGCATGTGGAAAGGTTAGGGGGAGCTCTGCACAAGCCTACGCAACGGCGGCGGAACGGGGGTATTGGCGAAAAGGAGTGGGAAAGGGGACACGCAAACGAGCGAATCAAGTAGTTCAGGTGAAGTGGGCGATGCAGGGCAGAAAGTGGAAACGAAACAGGGTAACGCGGCGAAAATGCACGACGTGCAATTCAGTGCGTCGGTTTCCCGTGCAAACTCACAAGGCAGCCACACTGCCGCACTTCGCGGCCTTCAGCGATCCGCCAGACTAGCTAGCGTAGGGGCAGAACACGAAATTTCCGGCCGTGGAGGCTCCCTTCCCGTGCTTCTTTGACTTCCGCTTTTTCGAGCCTCCTTTTTTGCCGGACTTCGCGCCGCCCTCGTCGCCGGTCGCCGCGCCGCTACTACTGCCGGCTAGGTTGCGAAGATCGCTGGCATCGTCGCCGAGGAAGTTTGCGACTTTGTCTTCGGCGTCGTCAAAACTGAGCTCGCCGTTTGCGATCGCCGACTCGACGGGGAACGCGGTGCCGCGCGCGGGCAGCAGGTGCAGCACGAGGGCCGCCGCGAGGAGCGCGAGGAGAGAGAAGCGTAGAGCGTTCATTCTTATATGTACGACTTGCGTGACAGATACTAATCAAACGAGGCGAAACAGGCGCTCAACCGGAAAAGCTAGATATAATCAAAGCGCGATCAGATAGAAGGTCGCGTTGGGTAATAGGCTTCGTACTATAAATCTGCCTTGAGACCGGATGGTCTTATGCTGTTAGCATTATGAGCAACCAAAGATGCCCGACGCATCTAACATTCCCCGTCGAGGCGCATCGCTGCTCTCGTATGCGTATTGTACTACCGCGCTGTTTGAGGGAGGTCGCATCAGCACGACTAGACTTGTCGTCACGTCACGTCAGGGACAAGACATGGCGCCTCGATTGCGGTGCTGCCAGCATGGCTCTGGTCTGGTGTAGCAACAACTCTATGCTAGCCTGTGCTCCAATAACTCCCCTCCCCTACAATCTCACACGACGTTGCGGGTCGGTGATGCTGACTCGGCGAAAGTCATGAATTAAATCGCGACAACGTAATCCAAAAATAAAAGTATCCACCCTGACAAAACTTGCTTTCGGGGGCATGTCGCATCAGGATTTTCGTGTCCCTTCAACGCAAGACCAAGGACGAGGAGGGTCCATGTTTACAACTGCACAAGTCGAGGGAACAAGGAAGCAAGATATGTCGCGAGTCGCGACATCTCAAACAAGCGCTGGAATGTGTTGCGGAACTACCATCACACGAAGAATCGAAGATCCCTTGCTCATCGTACGATAAGCTGAGTACAGTACGATGCGAGCCGTCAATTTTCCAGGCCGATACTGTATACGGAAAGATTGGGTTGAAGGTATCGAAGCGCGGTGAGAAATCAAGGGCGTTTGTGCTCCTCTGTACCCTTCTCGAGGACGAGTCAAGAGCAGACGAGAGTGCTTGTACAGAGACCCATGTCGCTGCGCCTCCGAACAGATTTGTTGCGACACCGTTATTGCAAATTAATCCATTACACTATCTGTTTGGATCTCCCTAAATGCTTCTTTATACATGCCCTTCCATCCACTCAGATCGTGGTGTGCCAAAAAATGGCAGTAATGTGGACGCTGCCGCCCAAACTCAACAAATATGCCAATTTCTAATCATTTTGGAAACTTCGCACAAGTTTCTACCAGTTCTAGTGGGTTGAAGAGATGGGTGAAGTAAATGCATACGGGCTGGAAGTGGTAGTACGATAGATGTGGAAGCATCAATGAACCAAATGTGGCAGTGGAAACATGGGAGGCATGTCAAACTATATTTGTATTTGTAGATAGGCTGTAGTGAGTTGCATGTTAGGGGGTATGAGAAGGCACACCGTCATTGCTTGGTAGAAGTCTAGTATATTATGGCCTCGCAGATGCTATTGCCATGGCAGTGGAAGCTTGCCCATCCCCGTTTTGATGGGAGCCGGCTTGTCTGCGCTTGGCTCGGTGGCAGGCAGGACCTTAGCCACCCATTCAGATCAGGAGGGATAGGCAGCATTGGCAGCCGAGGGGCAGCTACATGCAGCTGGGACGACAGTTGACAGTAGGGGCCTGCAGGTAGGTGACAGCAGGAGATGTAGGCAGGGTGCAGATGGATGGAGAGACAAGTGGGGTACAGATTATAAGGTTCCAGCAGACCTAATTCATCCACATCTGAACATGATACCGTACAGCTTTTACTAGGTTTTGTAGAGTTGTCACACACAGGGTAATAAGTGAGAAGTGCCACACATAAAGCCGCTCAGTAATTCTGAGGTCGTAATTGTGTCAATCTCCTGGACATCTGATCTCGCAAAGCCCGGTATATTGGAAAGGCACTACGGTATCTCCTAGCGTTGAGTTGAAAGCAACGGAACAGTTATATAGTGGCGCTACGCACCACATGCAGAGGAACCCAACCCAATGCCTGAGAAAGAGCAACCCAGCTAAGTGGATGCTATCATTGCCTCAGGAACAGATGTGGGACGGTGAAAATATTCATTGCAGAGGCACAGCATTGCGACAACCGAACTAGGTACATCTGATACAACCATCATCTAATGCAACGGCATCTAGGCATTCTAGTGCTAACCGATCCAGCAAATATTGCACAACTAACGCCCAAAGCCAACTCGCAGCGCGCCAAACCAGCACCTAAAACAAGGCAATATCGGTCTACGGGTTAGTAGGCTGGGCTCTAGATATTTCGAAAGTGCATTCCTCGAGGCCCGAGAGCCTAAAGCCCAGCGCGTGCGGCGACGGCGGTGCGGAGCTAGTAGCTCTTGCAACAGACGAAGACGCCGTTCTTCTGGCAGCAGCCGCCCTTCTTGCAGCACTTGTCGCCGCCGCAGCACGGGTACTCGGGGCTCTGCGCGCACACGCGGGTGTTGGGAGGGGAGAGAACGGGCGCAGGTGAAAAGGTTAGCACAAGCGCAGCGCATTGCGTATGGCCAGAGCGGCATGACGGACTCGGACTGGGTATGGGGATGGGGAGTGGGAAAGCAGGCATGTGGAACACGCCGACCGATTATTGAGTCATGCAGAAAACACTAGCAGGTAAAGAAACAAAGGCCGCGAGAGGCGTGAGATTCAGTGGGCTCGTTTTGGTGAGACTTACAATGCAGCACGCGCCGCCGCAGTACTCTTCCTTGGGCGACACGCCAGACTTGCCGGCATAGGGGCAGTAACCGGAGCCGTCGCCGTTAGCGTTGCGGCGCTTCTTGTGCTTGGGCTTGTACGCGCTTCCCGAGCCGGCCAGGATGCGACGGTCTGCAGCGTCGCTGGTGTCGTCAGTGTCGTCGAAGTCGTCGTGGGCGATCGCAGACTCGACGTCGGACGCGGCAGAGCGCGCCGGCAGCATGTGCAGCACGAGCGCCGCCGCGAGGAGCGCGAGGAGGGATAAGCGGAGAGTATTCATCTTGATGGATATGGCTGGCGCAATAAGACTCTAATTTGCAAAGTTGGGGGAAAACGGTGTGTTGATAGCGAAGGCGAAGCGTGGACGTTGTTGGATGGAGTTTATTGTTATGCTAGGTTGGTGGCTGCGGGATGAATCGACGCTGGCGGCAAGGCGTGCATTTGTACCTATTCTTCACGAGTCGAGGCGCAGAGCTGCGTAAGCACCGAGCCGGAGAGAGCACCGCCTGATCTGAGCTGAACGCGCTTGGCTTGACGGTGAAAAAGCGCCTCGATTGCGCGTGTCGCAAGCGTGGCTGTGGTGCCTGAGCGTATTCGTGCTGCGTGGTGCGTGCTGTGTGCTGCATGCTGCGTGCTGCCTTCCCTGCGGTGGTCTTGAAGGGGCGAGTCAAGGGCACAATATTGAGTGTGCTTATGTGGAGCGGAGAGAACCGCTAAATTCATCCTGCCGATCGCGGTCGCGGGATGCTGTCTTACGGGGTCTCAGAAACGTGTGCATGTGATGCGACGCGGTTTATTGCTGATAATGTATGAAATTCTACACTGACTGTCGAATGATGCCGTCTATGAGGGAACTGAAAGAATTCACTTTACTTCACCTTGTACAACAGTGTACACCGGGAGTCGGGCCCGATACCAGCCAACCTTGTTCAGTGCATTGTGCGCCTGGTTTTTGCGTGACTTAGCATCTGTCTCTTAAAATTTTTATTGCAATTCATGATCGCTCGTTCATGTGCACTTGCAATTACTGTAAGTACCGTAATCGTCCGCATAGTGTAAAATTCCCCATTTATAAATATGTTCCATTCGAGCCGAGGGGGAAGAGGGCGATGTTCACTTCACACCCATATATGGTAAAATACTACGTAATGGTATTTTAAGTCTGAAAAAGTACAGGTTCGGCGGTACTGGTCATGGGTTACCACTGGTTATGGTTATGGGTTACTGCTTCTGGAGCGCCTGCCCCGGTGGTCTTGCGTCTGGTCAGGTTGATACGCTGTGCTCGAGTCGTTATCTCACCAACCTGTTGCTCCTAACACCACCGTTTACGTCACCTTGCGCTCCGAAGTCTCGTCTACATAGCTAGGCACGGTCTTGTCTCATGTCTCCCGCTGTGGCTTCATCCGCTCCCTCCTTCGCTTGCTCTGCCGTACACTCCTTTTGTCGAGGGTTGGCAGCGCGCCGTCCCTCGTTCCTCCTCACATTTGCCAGCCACTGCGCCTCTCCAGACTTGGCGCATGGACGTATGTGGCCCTGCCCCTGTCTTTGGGCCGCGACTACTCCCGCTACACCACAGTGTTTCACTTGCAGATAAAGGCCGATGTGACTGCGGCTCTGATCGCATGTATGCTGGCCATATGTACGCACGACAGCCTGCCTGTGCTTCATCTACACTCCAGCCGTCGAGGTGTGTCAGTAAATATGCATTGTGGATGCCCGATTTTGTTTTTATGTAGATATATTAAAAAGAAAATATAGGTACATCCGCAGTCGTAACTGTATGCGTGGGGGGCTATGGGCCCTGTCAGCGGCAGGCCACATCCCCCCTGTACCGTTTACGGTGGCTGGAAAAAGTGTCCTTGGGTTACGCCAGATGGGCATGAATGCATCAGTCCACCTGGTTGGTCCTTCCGCCGCACTGATCTCCCTCAGTGCCCTCCTCTCGTCCTGTGCCACCTGGCCCCACGCGTCGTAGCCCCCACTCTTTTGCTTCCCATCCCTTATCGCCTCCATTGCCCTTGCTGCCTGCACTGCGTAGAGTCACTCGACAAAGGTAGTGAGCTAGACTACGGGGGGGGGTATGCACGAACTACTAAGAGCGTGTTCCTACACCTCGTATCAAGAGAACCTCGTATCAGGATCACAATGAAAATTCCCCTAAACCTAAAACCTCTCGCTAGTTTTACCAGGAGAAAAGTACATTCTTCATACGAGGTTTCCTGATATGAGGCCGTAGGAACACGCCCTAAGAGTGATCGTAGCTTTGCTTGCGTTCCTTAGCACTTGCACATTCACGGGAAAAGTTGGCAAGAGTTTCCACTAGCAAAGTCGAAATAATAGAATAATTGAACAAGCAATGACAACAATGATACATCAGGCACTTAGCAACTCTGCAGCTAGCCTGGTCGACCGCCAGCGCAGCTTGGTTGACCGCCTGCCACCGTTGCATAGAGGAGTCGCGCCAGCACTGCAGAAGAGCGACCTGCCAACACTGCAGGTCGATGGCGTGCCAACGCTGCAGCAAAGTGGTTGTTCAGCGTTGCCCCGTAGAAGACAGAAGTGCGCACGCTCGCAGGTGCGCGCAGACGATTGGCCCGACTTGCATCGTTGTGCATCCATCGGCTGTTGTCTGCGCCTGACGAGCCACATCGACTTCGGTATACCAACCCGAAGTCGCCTTCGCCACCGCGACCTCGACGACGTTCGTGTACCTCCACAGAACTCGTCGAGCAGGTTACCCTGTCGACCTGGTCGACCCCCAGGTGCTCTGGTCGACCCCCAGGTGCCTCTGGTCGACCATCGGGTCCTTCTGGTCGACCACCAGGTGCCTCTGGTCGACCACAACTCCCGTCAAGCTACCCCCTGGTCGACGGACCCCTTCCATCCACCAGAGCTGTCAGCGGTTGTCGCCGAGTTCCCCTCGTCGACCGCTGCTCACTTGTCAGGTCGACGGCTACTCCTCGACCTCTCGGTCGAACTGCAGGTCGACGGACCGCTCCGTCCACTTCCCGGTCGAGCTGCAGGTCGACGGACTGCTCCATCGACCTCCTGGTCGAACTGCCCCTCCTGGTCGACGACCCACCCGTCGCTCAGATCAGTCAGTTGCATCTGTCGAGCTCCCTGGTCGACAGCAACACCACAGCGGTCCCTTGCAGCTCGATGAAGCCTGCCAAGCAGCTCTCCCATTGTGAACGGTCGGCTGCTACTCCCGTACTTCCGACCAAGTCGTCGGCGTTGCCCAAGCGAGGGCGGGGCCAACACTCCATTCCTGTTAATAAGCACCACCCTCGCATGCGTCATGAAACCAACCACCGAATTCCGCCCCACCTTTTTCCGCTGGAGAGGGATTTTTCTCCATGCTGCATCACACCGGGCTACCCAGATTTGTCGCAGCACAATTGCAATCATTGTCATTTCTGGGAAACCTGACTCGGTCCCCCCCTTCTCAAACAGCAGGTCCTCCAGCGAGTTTGCCTTCCTGCCCGGGTTCATGAGCTCCAGTGTTCGCACAAGCGCGCCAATTATCGGTTGGATGGCATCGCGGTCTAGGGTTTCAAACCCTCCACATTGAGGGCAGTCGATTTTGTTCCTCATGAAATCCAGTCTCCCTCCCACCTGCAGGTTCATGCCGTGTGCTCTGAGCAGAACGTGGATGCCCCATTTGTCAAATGTTATATGTGCTACAGTATGTTTAGGCTGTAGTGGGGTAGTTAATATGGGGTACAGTAAGTTTAGGGTTTCCTACTTGTACCCAACCCTTTCCTAGTGCAATCACTTCTTCTCTCATTCTGACATGGTATTACGAGCCTAGGTTAGGAACCTAGGACCACTTACCTAAGGGCCCACCGATCCGCTAGAGGCGCCCTCGTGCGCCCCCAACGTCGTAGCGCCCTCGTGCGCCTCTCTCCTAGTGCGCCCTCGCGCCCTCCCTCTCAAGCTGCCCGTTTGCAGCCCGCTAGCAGCCCGCGCGCGGCCCCACGTTTTTAGCGCGAGCAGCCCGCTAGCCGCCAGAGCGCGGCCCGATTTTTCTCGCGCGCGCCAGCAGGCCGTCGCCCGTAGGCCCCGCTCGCCCCTAGGCCGACGCTCGACCCGCCGCCGCCCGCCCGCAGGTCGCAGCCAGTGCGCAGCGGCGATCGCGCGTCGACTGCTGCAGCTAGCGCTTAGCCGCCGCACAAACGCAGCTGCGGCCCGCGCGTAGCCGCACCCTAGGCGCCGCCGCACACCGTGCATAGGCCCGCCGTCGCGCCGCCCTACCTACCCGAGCCGCGCCGCGCCGAACTGCCTGAGTCGCGCCGCCCTGACCGAGCCGCGCCGCCCTGCCCGAGCCGCGCCGCCCTACTATGCCCCACCTGCAGCACCTGCTACTACTGCTACTGCTACTACTGTTCCTACTGCTGCTACTGCCACTATGGCCAATCCTACAGTTCTCACCTTTGACGCTGAGGGCCGTCCGATTAAGTTTGACGTTTGGCTCGATGACCTGCACCTGTTCCTCCAGATCACTGCCAAGGACGATGTTTCTTTGTTTGACCACACGTCCGGCGCTGCTCCCGCACCTGCTGATACTGCTGACAGCACTGTTCGCTCACATTGGCAGACCCATGACGCTCATGCTCGCCTCGCCGTTCGCAGCCACCTGCCGTTAGATGAGCGCGAGCACTTTGGCCAGCATAAGACCGCTAAGGAGCTGTACGATGCTGTAGTTGCACGCTACTCCTCCCCTGCTACTGCTGCGATAGGCCGTCTCTCGCTGCCCTACCTCTTCCCCGATCTGTCTGCCTTTGCCACTGTAGCTGACCTCATCACTCACCTCCGTACTAGTGATCTCCGCTACTGTGCCGCGCTTCCCCCCGATTTCCTAGCCAAGAACCCTCCCTCGATGTACCTCACACTCTACCACCTAGTCACCCGCCTCCCTGACTCCCTTCGCACCGTCAGGGACCACTTTCTCGCCCTCTCCCCCCACCGACCTCACTGTCGACCTGCTCGAGAAGGAACTCCTAGCAGCTGAGAAGAGCATTGTAGCTGTAGGTGCCTCTCGTGGCGACCCTCGCGCTCCCTTCTTTGAGGGGTGCTCCCCCGTCCCCCTCCTTCCCTCCATTGCATCTGCTGCTGCTGTCGACTACCTCGGTGCTGAGGGGGTCGGGGCTGCGTCTGCTCCTAGTGGGAGGCGCAAGGGCGGCAGGGGCAAGGGGGGCAGGGGGGGTGGAGGTGGCGGAGGGGGCGGCGGTGGTGGAGGGGGTGGAGGGGGCGGGGGTGGTGGCGGTGGTGGGAGTGGTGCTGGTGGTGGGGGGGTCAGTGGCGGAGCAGGGGGTGGTGGCGGCGGCGGTGGTGGGGGTGGTGGGGGTGGTGGTGGCAGTGGTGGCGGCAGTGGAGTTGGTGGCGGGCGCGGTGGAGCGGTGCAGCGTGGGGGGTTCGGCGGTGGCCAGAGGCAGCAGCAGCAGCGTCCCAGCGAGACTCCGTCGCCCCAGCAGCTCCGTGAGTGGTACTCTCAGCGTTGGGGGTCTGGGGGTGGAGGTACCTGCCCGTACGTCATCCGCACAGGTGACCACACTGGCCAGACCTGTGGGAGGTTCCACACGGCGTTGCGCTGCTTCTTTCGTCTCGACGACGCCTGGCGAGAGCAGTTTCCTGACGCCTCTGAGCTGCCCCGCTGGGCTGATCTGCTTAAAAAGAGCATTGATATCTTTGCTCTTGATTATGATGCTATCCTTGGTGCCATGTATGCATTGACTATTAGTGTTGAGGGTGACTGTTACCTGAGTGTACCGCCCGACCCGGGTATTGGGACCAGTGAGACTGCTGCTCTTGGTGCTAGTGCGTCTGCTGCCCTAGGTCCTGGTGAGGCTGCTGCCCTAGGTGCTAGTGAGTCTGCTGCTCCAGGTGCTCGTGCGTCTGCGCTTGCTGGTACTGCGTCTACTGAGGCACTGCACACTTTCACACTGGACTCGGGTGCTTCCCGCTGTTCCTTTCGTGACCGCACTGTCCTTGAGAAGCTAGCTCGGCCAGTTGCTGTCTCCCTCGCTGACCCCTCTGGGGGCCCGGTCCTTGCGACCTCCTCCACTGTCCTCCCTTGTCCTGCGGTCCCGTCCGGCACCCTGTCGGGTCTTTACCTCCCCTCGTTCTCTACGAACTTGGTGGCGGGCTCTGCTCTCCAGGACGGGGGTGTTCACAAGTTCACCCCTGCCTATGAGCGTGTGACCAACTGTACGTGTGCTCGGACGGGTCGCCACCTAGCTACCTTCACTCGGCAGCCGGGGTCGGACCTGTACACACTGACCACTGAGTCCCCTCAGGTAGCTGCGTCTGCGTCAGATCAGCTGTCGGCCCCCTGCTCGTGTCGCTCCCTGTCGCACCAGACAGTCCTCTGGCACCACCGTCTTGGTCACCCGTCAGTGCAGCGCCTTCGTGGCATGCACTCCCGGTACCTTGTCTCTGGTCTTCCCAGGGTTCTCCCTCCCCTCCCACCCTCGCCTGCTCCTCCCTGTCTTCCCTGTGTCGAGGGGCGACAGCGCGCCACTCCTCACTCCTCCTCGTTCCCTCCCACAGAGGCTCCCCTGCAGACTCTCCACCTGGACGTGTGGGGCCCAGCCCGCGTCCGTGGACAGGGCCACGAGCGGTACTTCCTGCTGGTCGTCGACGACTACACGCGCTACACCACGGTCTTCCCCTTGCGCACCAAGGGTGAGGTCCCTTATGTTTTGATCCCTTGGACCCGCGCTGCTCGTCTCCAGCTCCGCGAGCGGTTCCAGTTGGACTTTCCCGTCCTGCGTCTGCACTCTGACAGGGGTGGTGAGTTTTCTTCCGACCTCTTGGCAGCCTACTGTGCGGAGCACGGCATCCGCCAAACGTTCACGCTTCCGGCCTCTCCACAGCAGAATGGGGTTGCTGAGCGTCGCATTGGCTTAGTCATGGAGGTCGCTCATACCTCCATGATCCATGCGGCTGCCCCCCATTTCCTGTGGCCGTTTGCAGTCCAGTACGTTGCGCATCAGCTCAACCTCTGGCCCCGTGTCTCTGCTCCGGAGACCTCGCCCACACTGCGTTGGACGGGGGAGGTTGGCGATGCGTCGGTGTTCCGGGTCTGGGGATGTCGAGCCTTTGTTCGCGATACGTCCGCGGACAAGCTCTCCTCCCGTGCCGTTCCTTGTGTCTTCCTTGGCTTTGTCCCTGACGCGCCTGGCTGGCAGTTTTACCACCCCACCTCGCGCCGTGTCTTCTCCTCTCAGGACGTCACTTTTGACGAGTCGGTACCCTTTTACCGTCTGTTCCCCTACCGCACTGCGCCGCTCCCCCCCCCACCTCTCTTCCTCACCCCAGGTGCCCCTTTGGTAGACCCCCTCCCTCCCCAGGGTCCTGCTCCCTCAGGTGTTTCCCAGGTAGACCCGGTCGAGCCTGTCGAAGTAGCTGTCGACTCTGGTCCTGCGAGGAGTACTGAGCCTGGGGGTGCTGAGCCTGGGGATGCTGAGACTGGGGGTGCTGAGCCTGGGGGTGCTGAGCCTGGGGGTGCTGAGACTGGGGGTGCTGAGCCAGGGGGTGCTGAGCCTGGGGGTGCTGAGACTGGGGGTGCTGAGCCTGGGGGAGCTGAGACTGACCGTGCAGCGCCTGGTGGCGCTCCCTCTTTACAGCAGCTGCGTGAGTGGTACTCTCAGCGTTGCAGCCTCCGGCGTGGGGCTACTGGAGCTGGGGGTTCTGCCGGAGTTGGAGCTGGTGGTGCTGCGGGTACTGTGTCGCGGCCGGAGCCTCCCTCCCCACAGCGGCTGCGTGAGTGGTACGCTCGGCACTGCAGCCTCTGGAGCGGCGCTCCTAGCGTTGGGGTGCCGCCCGCTGGAGGCCCTGGTGCTGCTGGAGGTGCTGGAGCCTCTGGTCCTGGAGGTGCTCGTACAGGCGGTACTGGAGCTGCCGGGACCGGGGGCGCTACTGGTCCTGGAGGTGCTCGTACAGGCGGTACTGGAGCTGCCGGGACCGGGGGCGCTACTGGTGCTGGAGCTGCTGGAGGTACTGCTGGTGCTGGAGCTGCTGGAGGTGCTGTTGGTGCTGGAGTTGGAGCTGGAGGTGCTGGAGCTGCTGGAGCTACCGGTGGAGCTGAGGCCGCTGGGCCTGCTGGAGTTGGTGTAGCTGCTGACCCTGGGGTTGGTGCTGCAGGGGCTGGAGCTGGAGGTGCTGACGCTCGTCCTCCTGCAGGTGGTGGAGCCGACGGTGCGGCTGGAGCTGGTGCTACTGGGGGTACTGGAGTTGGCACTACTGGAGCTGCTGGTGGTGCTACAGGAGTTGGAGCTGCTGCTGAGGGTTCTGGTGCTGTCTCTATTGGTTCTGGGGGCGCTTCACGGCCTCGGCCGTACTTCGTTACGCTCCTTCAGCAGGTTCTTGGTCAGCCGCCTCCTCCTTGTCCTGCTCCCTCCTTAGAGTGTCCTCCGCCGGTCCAGTCGCAGTCACAGTTACAGCCTGCCTCGTCACTGCCTGGTCCTTCTCCCTACACTGGTCCGACAGGAGGTCTTACGGAGCGTCGTGAGCCTGAGTCTCGTCCTGTGTCGCCTGAGTCTCGTTCTGCGTCACCTGTTCGTGCTGCTCGCACTAGTTGTCGTGTCCCGCGTCAGCGTCCTCCTGCTGTCCCAGGCATTCACCAGATGACGCTTCGTCCTTCCACTGCTCCACAGCGTGTCCCTCTGCCTTCTCCTCCTGCGTCCTCCCTTCCTGCCCTTGCTGACCCGGAGTCTGACTCCCTTCGTGCTGCTAGTCCAACTGTCACGCGTCTCCTGGCCACTGCTGTCACTGACCCTTCCTTTGAGTCCGCTGCTGCGTCTGCCTTAGTTGCTGAGCTTGTCGACTTTGCTGCTCACTGTCGTCTCGACTACGCCGCTAGTCTTGTTGCTGAGTCTGAGTCTGTCTGTCCTCCGTCCGTCGGGGGTGAGTGTGCTCTAGGCACGGACGTCCTTGAGGACAGGCAGGAGGAGTTTGAGTGCTTTGCCGCTGCTGTACATCATCTTGTGTCCATGCTGATTGCACTTGAGGGAGACCCGGATGCACCAGACATCCCGACCCTGCGCTCTTACGCTGAGGCGATCGCGGGTGAGTACTCCTCTCAGTGGCAGTCAGCCATGGACGCAGAGATGGCATCCTGTAAGTCCACTGGCACTTACGTCGACGAGGTTCCCCCTCCTGGGGCGAACATCGTCAGTGGCATGTGGATTTTCAGGGTGAAGCGGCCGCCAGGTTCTCCGCCTGTCTTCAAGGCTCGTTACGTTGCTCGAGGCTTCAGTCACCGAGAGGGAGTAGACTTCTTCCAGACCTTCTCCCCCACCCCGAAGATGACCACTCTTCGGGTGCTACTGCACGTTGCCGCTCAGCGTGACTACGAGCTTCACTCTCTTGACTTCAGCACACCTTTCTTGCAGGGCAGCCTGCACGAGGAGATCTGGCTGCGCCACCCTCCTGGCTTCACTGGGTCGTTTCCTCCTGGTACCCAGTGGAGCCTCCGGCGGCCGGTCTACGGTCTCTGCCAGGCGCCACGTGAGTGGCACGACACACTGAGGACTACACTTGCGGCTCTTGGGTTTGCGCCTTCTACTGCTGACCCGTCGCTGTTTCTGCGCACCGACACTTCGCTGCCGCCGTTCTACATCCTCGTGTACGTCGACGACTTGGTCTTTGCTACTGCTGACACTGAGGCTCTCGCCCTGGTGAAGTCGGAGCTGCAGAAGAGACACACGTGCACAGACCTGGGTGAACTGCGCAGCTACCTTGGCTTGCAGATCACTCGGGACAGAGCACGCCGCACCATCACACTGACTAAGTCACACATGGTGCAGCAGGTCCTTCAGCCCTTCGGCTTCACCTGGTCCTCAGTACAGCCGACTCCTCTGGCTACAGGTCACTCGCTCTCAGCTCCACCTTCGGACGAGTCCGTAGAGCCGAGTGGTCCTTATCCAGAGCTAGTTGGCTGCCTCATGTACCTGATGACTTGCACTCGTCCTGACCTCGCGTACCCTCTTGGCCTTCTGGCTCGCTACGTGGCTCCTGGTCGGCACCGAAAGGTGCACATGGATGCTGCTAAGAGGGTACTACGCTACTTGTGCAGTACATCAGGCATGGGGCTCGTGCTTGGAGGGAGGAGCTCAGTTGTTCTCACCAGGCACTCAGACGCTTCTTGGGTTGACGACCAGACTACTCAGCGGTCGTCACAGGGTTACACCTTCAGCCTTGGCTCTGGTTCAGTTTCTTGGCGTTCTACACGTTCGTCTTCAGTTCTCAGCTCCAGTTGTGAGGCTGAGATCTACGCCACAGCCATGGCTGCACAGGAGTTACGCTGGCTCACCTACCTGCGGATGGACTTGGGAGAGCGGCCTCGTTCTCCTCCAGTGATGTACCTCGACAACAAGGCAGCCATTGCCTTGTGTGAGGAGCATAGACTGGAGCACAGAACGAAGCACATCGCTCTGCGTTACTTCCTGGCTCGAGAGTTGCAGCAGCGTGGTCAGCTTCGCCTGCGTTACGTGGCCACTCGGGCCAACACTGCTGATATATTCACCAAGGCACTTCAGTCTGGTGATCATCAGCGTTTCTGCACTATGCTAGGGCTTGTGCCCACTTTTCCTCACTTGCTGTAGGCTTTGCTTGTACTGTGATCTATATAAATATACCTACATGCTTGCTTTGCTAGGTAGAGATCACTGTGATGTTTGTGTTACATATATGCCTCTGCATGTGAACTGTCCTTGTGGCCCTTTGCTTGTGCTCAGTGAGTGTGGTGACGTTGTGATCCACCCTGAGCTTGCTTTGCCTTTCTTGACTGGTCTTGTGACCCCTTGCTCTCCCCCACTTTGCCTATGGGGGTGTGTCAAATGTTATATGTGCTACAGTATGTTTAGGCTGTAGTGGGGTAGTTACTATGGGGTACAGTAAGTTTAGGGTTTCCTACTTGTACCCAACCCTTTCCTAGTGCAATCACTTCTTCTCTCATTCTGACACGATTGATCCTAGGGAGGGTTACATGTGCGTTCGCCTAGGGGGTTATGGGCGGATTGGCCCGCTACTTAACAAGCCCTTTTATCCCAATGATCTAAGTGGTTTGGATTCTGACAAGGTAAGTTTCGTTCCGGCCGACATGCTCAGTTATATTGCGAGCAGGCATCACCCACTACTACACGCTCCTGCAGTCACCACTGCAGAATGGGGTTGCTGACCGCTACATATGCTTGGTCATGGAGATCGCCCTTACCTCCATGGTCCATGCCTGTGCATCTCAAGAAAGAATTGTTCACTTCATGAGAAGAGTTGGATACAAATACAAACCCTCATATAAGCTAACAAGCTATAACACTTATAATATAAAATAAACAGCTTTATAAGCATCATTGCCAATATCAAGGACGCACTATGCACTACAAGCAAGAAACAATTCAGGGCGGCATTATAACTTAATTCAAGCGTGCATGGCTGCATCGCTGCAACTCATTCAAGAGAAAGTACCCGCATATGAATATTATTCACTCTACTCTCCAATCTAAGCTCCTAAAACAAGAGGATCATATCCTTGTTGTCAGCGAGCAAGACTGGAGCAGAGCTTGGTCGCTCACCCATGTCAGTGAGCAAGCACGTCAACCAGCGGCTCTTCAAAAGCCATGACATCAACGTAATTCTCTGCCTCAGCGCTCGACGGAGCAACAGTCAATGCTCGATTCGACCTTCTACGACACATCACAGAGTCCAGGCAAAAGCAATAGCCATAAGTCGATCTGCGAGTCTCATTGTCGTCCGGCCACAATGCGTAAGTGTGCCTTGTAAGTCGAACTAGCTCACGTCCACCAGGCACAAATTTCATGCCAGATGTACTCGCAAGGTAGCGCGCTACTCTCTTAGCGGGCATCCGGTGAATGGGATGGTGTCTCCCAATCGTAACAAGGAGAACCAGGATGCTGGGAGGGAAGGCAAGGTATGGGCAAGTGCAATTTATCAGATGCACGAGACACCCCACCAGCTTTGCGTACAGACCACCAAACTCAGCCGGCTCATTGGGAACAGGAGCCACCCCACCAGCTCTGCGTACTAATTGTGGTCGACACAAAGACCAAGTCGCCGACGTAAACAAGGATAAAGAACAGCATCGGCCCTGTGTGAACGAAGAGAGAAGGGCCAGCCGGGGATGAAAAAGAAGCCGAGGTCAGCGAGAGTAGTACGCAACATGTCGTGCCACTATGGAGGAACCTAACCCAAACTGTAGACTGGCCGTCGCAGGCTCCACTTATTACCATGAGGGAAAGAGCCAGTGAATGCAGTAAGAAGACAAAGCCAGATCTGCTCGTGCAGGTTGCCGTGCAGAAAGGTAGTGGAGAAGGCAAACAAGTGCGGCTCGTAGTCACGCTAAATTATGACGTGCAGCAGTACCCAACGAGTGGCCTTCTTCGGGGTGGGGATGAAGGTCTGGAGAAGTTTGCTCACTCACGCTGTAAAAATCCTCTCGCCACGTAGAGCGTCTTGAAGACAGGCGACGAACCATGTGGTTGCTTCACCCGGAAGATCCACATGTCATCAACAACAGTTGTCCCAGGAAGGGGGCACCGACATAGGTGCCTGTGGACCTCGAAGATGCCATCTCTGCGTCCGTAGCTGCTATCCGCCGAGAGATCCACTTACATGATATTGCCTTAGCATAAGTGCGAGGAGTTGGGATGTCAACATGGTCTGGGTCTCTCTTAGGGGCTTGTAGTATGGCAAAGGAGGCGGGTGGAGGCAAAGTCAGCAACAGCGGCAAAAAGAGCCGAGATAGACGAAGGTTAAGAAAAACTAACTGTTTGTCTCGTCTTGTGAACATCAATACACCAACAGTGGGGTTCAAAGTAGAGGGTTATGAGAAAGCTCAACTTCAAATCGGACCAAAACAAATTATTAACATTTAGCGAAGCAGATCGTATAGTGGATCCGTTGTAGCCTGGAATCACGAAACCCCAGCATGTTCGCTTTGACGTTACGTACGTCGCACATGAGCAGATATGGGCCGTCAGCATGTCGCTCTGGCGTTACATTGCACACGAGCAGGTCATTCGGAGACCCAACAACCAACCAACTGACAATGTCTGATCTGAAGATTGTCGATTTCGAAGTCGCAACTGCTGGACGAAACACATTCGCGAAGCCAGTAACAGCCTCCTGTTTGTCGTGAGCCGGGAGTGCCCACCAACTCCAGCTGTTCACAGTTGGCTTTCGATTTGAGTTGATATTTTGTATCTGGCTTCAGATTTTCCGTGGAACAAAATGTATAGTTCCCGCCATACGTACTCAGATGTTGTTCTTCAGAGAACCGATTGGAGATTGGAGTCGGGTACTTCGGGCTCTATTTCGATATCATTATGTAAGCCTGTCGAAACGAGGATGGATTTCGAAGTCACTCTCAGAAATGAGAGCTTCTCAAATCTGTAACTCAGCCAGGAAGGGAAATATAATATGAAATGCTTGGCCCTCATGGCCCAGCTGGCGCTTGACTGTCGCCCTGCTTTCTCGGGCCTCTTCTGCCTTGTCGTGAGGTGACCTCTCTGGCATTCGTTTGCAGCAGACAAACTGCTAGGGAGACAGGCGATCCCTCTGGCACAAACTTCCAGCCACGTCAGACCACACACTTCCCCTCCCCTCACCACCACCTGCGCCTTCCCCTTCGAGATTCATCTTCCCTGCCCACCAACTCCACTTACGCGCCCCTGTCCCCTCTTGTTCCCCTGTCCCCTCCCCACGCCTCCTCCGCGCACACCCCCTCTCCCCCCCAGCCCCTTCTGCCTACCCTCCTGTCCCCTTCATATTCACTTGCTTCTCCATTTCCTCCTACATCCCGCTTATCTCTCCGCTCCAACTCTCCAGTTTATCGCCAAGTCCAGCACAGCTAAATCGCTCAGACTCCCTTGAAAGCTTCAGTAACCGCTCCCACCGTTATCTGAACGTGTCAACGAACTACGTTTCATAGGTCGTTTTCATTCCCACGTCGCACCATGGCGCAAATCGTTAGAGTCATCACGCTTCTCGCTCTCGTCTCGTCCTGCGCCGCTTTAGTGGTGGACGGTAATGCCGATTTGATCAAGGCTAAGGAGGCGCTCAAGAAGTGGGGCGAGTACAACACGTACATGACCCTCCTCCAATCATCTGGTAACCTCTCGACCCTCTTATCCCCCCCCCAAATCCTGTGTAGAAGCCGTATCTTGTTCTGCTGCATTACCTAGCTTGTCCAGAGTTTTCTTTTTTTCTCTTAATTTCTTTTTCCTCGTTGAACTTAAGGAACTCATTTTTTCTCCTCTATCTTCTCTTTTTCTATTCAGGTTTCGAGCCCATCCTCGCGCGGTACATTCAGACGCAGCCCGTAACCCTCCTGGTCCCCAACGACAAGGCCTTCGCCACTCTCCCCATGCGCGTCAAGGCGCAGCTTTCCGGCTCCAAGCTCATCAAGCTTCTCGAGTTTCAGATGATTCTCCAGAAGCTTCCTTCCGGCTTCCTCAAGATGGCGCAGCCCGGCTCGAAGTTCCGTACCGTGTACGGCGTAACGCTCGTAAAGCAAAAAGCAGCGCTCAAGAACACTGTGATTCTCGGCGCTCCGGGCGCGACGATGCCGTCGCAGATGGCAGTGGTAACCCGAGGCGACATGGCGGCGGCGAAGCTGATGCTGCTGTGCCTACACGGCACCAACAACGTCATTCTCCCTCCCAACGTCTTCTTCTAAACACCGCCCTGGTTTTGGCGTAGTGGGAGTTCCATCACGAGTGACATAATGTCCATTGTATCCCCGTTCTCGATCTTCATGAGATCGTCTGCTGTCTTCTCAACCACGCCCGTTGATTCTTTTCAACCCGCCCATTCGGACCAACCACGCCAGCCGCGCCGTCTCCTCCGTCTCTTCTCGGGACACGGAGATTCCCAACGTCATGATTATCAACCCTCTGTCCATGGCTCCCTCCACATCTTCAAGACTCCTCGCTTCGTCCGTCACCATCCGCGCTTGTGCGATTCCAAGCTCGTGCCGGCACTCGAGCTCGTCTTACCCAGGGGTTTCTTTGAGGAAACTAGAGATCTGCCATAATTTATTCATTCGTTTGCCATAAACAGTTACACGGGTTTATTCAAAACTCGTTTTATTTTTTTATTCTTAGTATTTGTTCATACTCTTCCAAGTGCACGATTTTAATGCTCCTCACCAATGCCGTCCTCTAACAATTTGCTGGGTTGAATGCCAGTAGGCTTGCTTGGCTTTCAATTGGTGTGGTTGATGGTTATCTTGGGTGGACACTTGGCCTGACCATGGCCTTCAGGTAGGTGGAATACTAAAATAAGCGGTAGGTGGAATACTAAAATATGGGATTAGTGTTAAAAAAAAAAAGAACCCTAACACAACCATGTGTGAAAAAATAATACGGTAAACATCTACAGTGATTGTGAAAACCTTGGTGAATTCGCTCGTCCACTCAGCCGACCGCCAAACCCGGATTCAGCGGCCAGGTCGAATTCCTCCAAAACACCCTGAAATAGAGCATGCCTTGTTTCTGCGGGCGCGCTTCGCGGGAGCTTATGAAGGTCCCCCAGGTGTCCAGCTCGACAAAATCAGCCTGTCAAGTCGACTCGACAAAGGTGAAACGCCTGATCCCTGTGCTTCAACGCCTGAAACACAAATCCCTGATCCCTCGGCACAGCAAGAATGATGGCGTGAATAATCACCCGCACCAGCACAGCAAAAATGGCGCGATGGAAATCACCCGCATTAGCACAGCAAGAATGGCGCATATATACCACCCGCACCAACACAGCGAGATTCGACAGTACGTTATAGAAATTCAGTTTTCGAGTTATCTCTACTTCCGCTACCAAAACGTGTCAAAGGCCCACGTTGCTCAGGTCGTCTTCATTCCTACGCCGCACGATGACGCACGTCGTAGTAAGGCTCCTCACGCTTCTCGCTCTCGTCTCAGTAGCTTGCGCCGCTACATCGGTGGACGGAAAAGCCGATTTAAATAAGGCTTTTGCGGCGTTGACGGCGATGGGCAAGTACAACACGTACTTGTCGTTCTTCCGATCATCTGGTAACCTTTAAATCCTAACGTCCCCGCACATCCTCTCTTACAATCCGTCAGACCGTCTGCCTCATCACCCGTCTCGTTAAGTTTCTCTTTATACCTCCAGTTTCCTCTTTCGTCTTCTTCGTGTAACCCCTTTCGGCAAACTCATTGTTTTCTTCGCTATTTTCTCCCTTGCTATTCAGGTTTACAGCCCGTCCTCGCGCGGTACATCCAGACGCAGCCCGTAACCATGCTCGTCCCCAGCGACAATGCCTTCACCACCCTCCCCGTACGCGTCAAGGCGCAGCTCTCTGGTTCCAAGCTCGTCCGGCTCCTCAACTACCACATGATTATTCAGCAGCTCTCCTTCGCCTCCCTTCAAAAGTTACCGCCCGATTCGAAGCTCCCCACCATATACGGCGTAAAGATCGTGAAGCAGAAAGCAGAGCTCAACAGCACCGTGACGCTCGGGCCTCCTAGCGCAACGACGTCGCAGATGGCAGTGGTAACCCGAGGAGACATCGCGGCGTCGTCGCTCACGCTGATTTGGGTCCACGGCATCAACAACGTCATCATCCCTCCCGACTTGTTCTACTAAACGCTCTCGGCGACCGAACACGACTGACAGATTCGCATCCCACTAGGGTATTGACCATCTTGGGTTTGTCTGCTGTCTGTCCCTGGCTGGTCCTTCACTACCCGATGAGCTTGACCACCCGTGCCAGCCGCTTCACGGCATCTCCTCCGCTCCGTCTCTCCTTGGACAGGGAGATTCTAAACACTGGATTTCAACCATCCATCCACCTATAGGTCCGCTCCAACAGAAGTTCAGGTCATCACTGCACTTGTGCGATTCTGCACGAGCGTGTAAATACTCAAGCTCGTCGTAGGTACTACTTAGTATGGACCTAAATCTGTCTTCACAGCTTTTGTCAAAGCTAGCTCAGTAAATTGTAAGGACGTGTCCAGCGCGTACATTTACCGTTCATAAACCCCTTCAGTTACCACATTCTAAGTTGTAACACTGCATTTTACAGAAAGTGTGGACACGAGACGGCACACCAGCTACTCGTACCTCGAGTCGTGTGACTCACGTAAGTACATACAGCGTGCGCGCGAACTCGGGTACAGTATCGCGTCCAACTAGCTACAGAAAGTTCCCTCTGTATTGCTCGCACGATTTCGCCAGTGCCGCTCGATACTCGCCGAAACCACCTGCGCGCTGACGAAAATGCCAACCCTATTCTTCACGAGGAAACCGGTTACCTTGGTTTCCAGGCTGTGTTGGCACTGTTGAAGTTTGTGTGGGGGGGTGTGTGTCCGCGCGCAAAACATTCGAGGAACTGTGGACTCGGCTCAAAGAGCATTCGTTTTTAGGTACAGTGATCAGTTTTGTACCGTGTGTGGGCACTAAAATTCCCAAAATGAAAGCGCTGGACACCCCCTAAAGAAACGTTCCAGCCATTGCTTCCAGAAATACCGTAGCGGCCTCCTGCTAACGATAAATGCACAGCACAGTAAATGCAGAAACACTTTTAGGTAGTAGGTAAACATCACTGTACAAGAGGCAAAGTAATAATGATGTCAATCTTGGACTTGCATCAACGATCAGGAAAAGAAGGCAACGGCAGTGCATCTCTGCACTGCAAAGCACGCCATCCAAAGCCCTCCATCACTACCTTCAAGTTATGCTAGTAAATATGAGATTAGTTAGTACAGAAATACAACCCAAATCATATATGTGAAAATCAAAGCATCTACAGTGCTTGTGAAAACCTGGGTGAATTCGTCCATCCAAGAGCTCGTCCACTCCACAGCTGACCGCCAAACCCAGATTCAGCGGCCAGGTCAAATTCCTCCAAAACACCCTGAAGAAGCGAGGCATGTTCTGTGGGCGCGCTTCAAGGTTACGAAAGTCCCGGCGTCCAGGTCGACAAAATCAGCCTGTCATGTCGACTCGACAAACGTGTGCAAGTGCTCTGATCCCTGCGATCGCTCAGACTCGACACCAGCACAGCAAGAAAGGCCATGTACCACACTAGCACCACTCCAGCACAGCAAGAAAGGCCATGTACCACACTAGCACCACTCCAGCACAGCAAGAAAGGCCATGTACCACACTAGCACCACTCCAGCACAGCAAGAAATATCACCCGCACCATACCAGCACAGCAAGAAAGGCCAAAGTGTATCACCCGCGCCAGCACAGCAAAAATCGCAAAGATTTTTAAACATTCATGTTTGAGATACTATCGTTCCTTCCACTACCAAAACGCGTCAAAGACCCACGCTGCTTAGGTCGTCTTCATTCCTACTTCGCACAATGGCGCACATTGTAAGAGTCCTCGTCGGGTTTCTCGCTCTCGTCTTAGTGACCTGCGCCGTTGCAGCAGGAGACGGAGTGGCCGAAATGAATACGGCTAAACAGGCGCTGACGGAGGCGGGCTGTTGTAGAGGCGTCTCCTCTACTTTGCAGGAACTCTAAGTTGCACTAAACGATAGAGCTGAGAAGAAACAAGGAATGAAATGACTAAGGGAAAGTTGGGTACAAAATGCAAACCCTAGAAAACTGTACCCCATATGTGCTACCCCACTATAGCCTACAGTAGCTCTGTCATATAAATCTGACACACCCCCATAGGCAAAGTGGGGGAGAACAAGGGGTCACAAGACCAGTCAAGCAAAGCAAAGCAAGCTCAGGGTGGATCACAAAGTCACCACGCATTCCGAGCACAAGTTCAAGGCCACAAGGCCAGTTCACATGCAGGAGTACATATATATATAAAGGCTAGACAAACAAGAGCAGGTATATATATATGTAACAGCACAAGCAAGGTCAAGAGGTGAGCAAGTGAGGCAAGGTAGGCACAAGGCCCAGCTGAGTACAGAAGCGCTGATGGTCACAAGGCGCAAGAGCCTTGGTGAAGATATCAGCAGTGTTGGCCTCAGAGGCCACGTACGCAAGACGCAGCTGACCACGCTGCTGCAGCTCACGAGCAAGAAAGTAGCGGAGAGCAATGTGCTTCGTTCTGTGCTCCAGTCGCTGCTCCCGACACAAGGCCAGCATGGCCTTGTTGTCTACGTACAGCACTGGAGGAGAACGAGGCAGCTCTCCGAGGTCAGTCAGCAGGTAGGTGAGCCAGCGAAGCTCCTGTGCAGCCATGGCTCCTGCGTAGATCTCAGCCTCACAACTGGAGCCGAGAACAGAAGACGAGCGGGTAGCCCGCCACGAAACAGAGCCGGAACCAAGGCTGAAGGTGTAACCCTGTGACGACCGCTGCGTAGCCTGGTCGTCAGCCCAAGAAGCGTCTGCGTGCCCAGTAAGGACCACTGGACTCTGCCCTCCAAGCACAAGCCCCATGCCCGACGTACTGCACAAGTAGCGCAACACCCTCTTCGCTGCAGCCATGTGCTCCGGTCTGTGTCTCCCAGGAGCAACATAGCGTGCAAGAATGCTAAGAGGGTATGCAAGGTCAGGTCGTGTGCAGGTCATCAGGTACATGAGGCAGCCAACAAGCTCTGGGTACGGGCCACTCGACTCTACGGACTCATCCGAAGGCAGAGCTGAGAGCGAGTGGCGAGTAGGCAGAGGAGTGGCCTGAGGCGAGGAGTACGTGAAGCCGAAGCGCTGAAGGACCTGCTGCACCATGTGTGACTGAGTCAGGGTAATGGT